CTCTTGCTGTTTCAGTTCCCTGCAAATCTGTTTCTCCCTTACACTTTGCCATCTCTGTAAATATCCACCAGCCATGCAGTCTCCCAAGCCCAAACCTGCCTGTTATCCTTGCTCCTTCTCTCACTGTCCCCCACCTGACGCCCCCGCACCGCGCACCCCGCCACCAGCTCATAGATGTACCTTGATTCCCTCCCTCTCCAGTTCCATCTCCTCCTCCTGGGTCAAGGCACAGTCATCTGTGGCACGAGCTGCCCTACATTCTCGCCTGCATGCTTGCAGCCCTCCAGCATCATTTCAGATGCAAATAGGATCTGGTGGCTCCCTTTCCTAAAACCCTCTAGGGCTGTGCACTCACTGCATCGCTCCTAGAGTGAAAGCCAGGTGCTTCCCCTGTAAAGGCTCTGCAGGACTGGTCCCTGCTCACCTCCTCAGCCCATCTCATCCCCCACCCTCCCCTACGCTCCAGCGGCAAGGGCCCGCCTTCTGTCGGCTCAGGACGTGATGGCTCACCCTGGCCCTCTGCCCCAGTGTCCTCCCCTCAGAGGGGCCTTTCTCGGCCTCCCTATATGCAGCAGCCCCTCCTGCTGTCCTCCATCACATCGTCACTAGACACTCTGTCCTTCACCGCATTGATACAACGCGGGAACATCCTTCTTGTCTACTGTGTCTCCCCTACTGGTGTGTAAGCGCCTTCTGGGGAGGGACCCTTTGTCTCATTCACCACTGTGTTCCCAGCACCTCGCACGATTCCTGACACTTAATAAATACGAGTCGAATAAACTAAAATATCTCAGGTTAAGTGATACATACAAAATGTCAAATCCAATAATACGTGAGTGCTGATTATTTCCATGAGATGAAATTACCGAGAATAATTGTGAGTTCCTGCGTCTAGATTCGGGAAGTTAGTGTTCCTGTACAGACTGGGAGATGCTGGCTTACTGTGAGAAGTGTCTGGAGGGTTGGCAGCCAGCGAACTTGGTGATGTGGTCACCAAAGCACTTTCGGTGGGAAGCGGAGGCGGGGGAGGGGAGCCTGATACCCTTTTAGGCCAAACAAATGGGAGTTTGGTGACTAGAACATTCTGCTACCATTGGCCTGCCGGGCCCCATCTGGAGCATCTTGCTTTCTTGGAGAGCCAAACTTTGGCAAAACGTCTACATCTGCTCTGTAGGGAGAACAGAGGTGCTGGGGCCACCATGCAGCAGAAGAGCCGTCAGATAACGACTCCATGTGCCTCTAGGTGGCAGCACAAAGGACAGGGCTGGCTCTTAGAGGTGGGCCAGTGTCCAAGGGAAGAAATTTCTAACACTAGAAGCTTCCAAAAATGGAATGTGCTGCTCTATTAATGGAAATAAATACTTTCAGCTGCAAGTGATAGAAAATCCAACTCAAACTGCTCTAAGTTAACAACAAAAAGGCGGGGCTGGGGCGGGTTTTTTGGCTGATAGAACTGAAAATTCTAGAGGTAGAGTGTAGCTTCAGGCATGGCTGGATCCAGGGAATCAAAGGCTGTCCTCGGGACCCTGCTTCACTTTCCATACTGAGCTCTGCTTTCCTCCACGTTGGTCCTTTCTCAGGTTCCACCCCTCAGAGCAGCAGGTGGTCACCAGCAGCTCTTGGTAGATATTCTGTCTTTTCTGTTCTCCCAGGAGAAAGTCCCCAAAGAAGTCCAGATGTCAAAACCCACGGGATTGACTTCATAGTCACATGTCCATCCTAGAATCACTGTAGCCAGAGAGGTAGCCAGAGAGGTATGACAGTTGGCCGGGGCTACGTCCCGTTCCTGCTTCCAACGCAGTCCCTGTGGCCAGGGGAAATGCAGGGCTCTGAAAGGCTGGGCCTGGGTCTCAGGCCACTCCGGGAGCCAGGAGAGAAGTCAACCCATCTGAGCCACTTGGACTGAGTTTGTGGAAGGTCCCCAGCTCCCAGATCAAGAAACCGAAAGTTCCCAGCACCCCTGTGCCGCTCTCCCCCAGGGTAAACTGCCTTCCACCCGAGGTAACCCCTATCTCTTCTTCTGCCAACATAGACTAGTTCTGCCAGCGCTTGTTCTCCATATAAATGGGATCTTGAGCACATACTCTTTTGTGCCTGACGTCTCTCTCTCAGCCTTATATGTGTGAGATTCATTTATATTGTTGAATTGATAGATCATCCACTCTCACTGCTAACAAACATAACATTCCATCGGGAGAGGAAACCAGTTTATTTTTCCATTCTGCTGATGAGCACTTGGGAAGTTTCTGTTTGGGGGCTACTATGAATAGTGGTGCTAGACTCTTGTATGCTTCTTCTGGTGCACCTGTGCTGGCATTTCTGGAATTAATTGCTGGGTCGTAGGGCATATGTGTTCACCTTTAGTAGATACTGCTAAACAGTTTTCCAAAGTGGTTGTACCAATCCGCATTCTTGGAGCAGTTCTAAAGCCTCGGGATTAGCTGACATCTGTGTCCCATACATACTGAGAGCGACAGGTCTGGGCTTCATGGAGAGCTGGGGCTTGTTAGCAGCTGCATCCTGGGTCCTGGGCGCACAAAGAGGGAAAGAATTCCCATCCTTCTCCTGTCCCCTCTCTGGTATTTGATGCTGTCCTGCCCACACTGTCCTGAGTCTTCCTCTTTTAGGAATGAGTTTTTAACATCAAAGTGTTTCCCTGCATCCCAGATGGACGAGTGTAGTCGAAGGCTTCGTTTCCACAGCGCTGAGGTACCCCATCCACCCCTTTGGCTAAGTCCTGGGGAGTTCCTGCTGCATGCGCTCATCTTAGCCTCAGGACTGAGTGGCCAAAGATGCCTTCCTGAGCTTGGCCAAAGCACTGTAAATGGATTTTCCAGAATTCCTGACTGTCCTCCACATTCTGAGTCAAAAAAAAAAAGCCTTTGGCCTGGCCGTTCTCAGAAAGAGGAACCCAAAGCAGGATGTGGTTTTACAACCAGAGGAAGTGGATCCCAACAGTGGTAACATGGTAGCACAGGGTGACATGCTGCCCTGCTGCTCAGAGCAGCTTCTGCATCTAACTGAGGGTGAGGCCTGGAGCCAGCTGGCAGAGCCACCAGAAGAACAGCTCTCTCAAACTAAACACTTCCTTTCAACTATTTTAAAAAGTCACTTAAATCTCGGAGGATGTGACCCTAGGGTAAGGAAGTATTTGTCTAAAGAATAAAAATGATAAAACATGAAGGAAAAAGATTTGCCTACATCAACATTCAAAACTTCTGCTCCTTAACAAGACACATAAACAAAGTGAAAAGATGACTCAAATCAGATATTGCCAACTCACTCAAGCAACAAAAGAACTGAATCTAGAGAATGTAAGAAACCCTGCAAAGCAGTAAGAAAAAGACAACCCCACAGAAAAAATGGGCAAAGTTTATAAGCTGGATATTTGCAGAAGGTAAACATTTTATGGATAATCAGAGAAATGCAAATTAAAACAAGAGAGCATTTCACGCCCACCAGATTGGCAGAAATGAGTAAATTTGACAGTACCAAGTGCTGGCAAAGATACGGAGATTAAAAAGTTAAGGATGTGGTTATACCTGTCGTAGGTTATACGTATGATCTGACAATTCCACTCCTAGGCATATACCCTCTACCTGCACTGCCCAGTATGGCAGCCACCAGCCACATGTATTTCTTGAGCACTTGAAATGTGGACAGTATGATTGAGGAATGGAATTTTTAAACATTTTATTTAATTTTAATTCATTTAAACATAAGAATTCATACTCGATTTGGTTATTGGAAAACTTTTTAGTATATTTGAAACAACTTGAGTCTGTGAACCTACTTTTTTAACCTGTTAATTGTATGAAATCTACATAAGATGAAATACTTCTGATGAAAACCTAGCGTCCGAATTGTCCTGTAAGTGTAAAATACACACCAGATTTCAAAGACTTAGCACCAAAAAAATGTAAACTATCTTGTAATTTTTCTGTACTGATAACATTGAAATGACCATAGTTTGGATATATTGAGTTAAATAAAATAGATTACTAACTGAATTTTATCTGTGTCTTTTTCCTTTTTAAAAATGTGGCTACTGGTGCCTTTGACATTCCACGTGTGGCTCACATTATATTTCTCTTAGACAGTGTTCACCAAGACTCTCACTTGTACACAAGGAGATGTGTGCAAGAATATACGTTGCAGCATCATTTGTAATAACCAAAATGAGTAGACACAAACCTTGAGGTCCCTTAGCAAGAGAGGGGGGTAAATAAATTGTGGTTTACTTACACAGTGAAATATCTCCCAAGAGTTAAAATGAATGAACTAGAGCTACATGTATCAGCACGGATAAATCTAGATTGCAGCGTTGAGTGGCAAAAACAAGGGCAGAAGACTCAGTAATCATACAATGCTTTAAAGCATGGAAAAATATTAGGAATTGTTTGTGGACACATTTTAGTATAATAAAAGGATAAAAACATGCATGGAAACCATAAACAACCAGAATCCAGGTGGTGGTAACCCTGAGTGGGAGAGAGACTCAAAGACCTCTTATTGTGTCTGTAACATTTTGTTACTTACCGGGCAGTGGGTTTGGTATGGCTGAGATAGTTCAACAGCTTGTCTGATGGCTAAAGCCATTTGGTTTCTGGTCAAAAAGTTTCAAAGAACGTCGTCCTTCGCTCCCTCTCAAGTCTGGGGTTGTCTGCCCAGTGATCCTGCCATTTTCCATCTTTGCCGGCTGGTGGCCATGGTGAGGTCTCCCACGTGTGTGTGTTCCTGAGAAAAAATGACTTGGCATGGGTTTGTTGGTGGTTTAAACTGGGGGCACCGCCGTGAAGGATGCAGACGGAGTGCCTGCAGCTCAGCCTAGACAGTGGCCTGGGGCAGCAGGAGCCACAAGCCACCTCCCGGCTGGGACTCCATCCCAAGCTTCCTGCTGACAAAAGTCCTGAAATCCTGTTTTCCAAAGGGTCCTATTAAAGGACTCACCCAGCACACCTTAGGGCCTCACCTTGCCTTTGCTTCCTTTTCCTTTGCAGGACGATTGGTATCCGAGAATTAAAAGAGCAGGATGCCCCCCGGGGTTGACTGCCCCATGGAATTCTGGACCAAGGAGGAGAATCAGAGCGTGGCCGTTGATTTCTTGCTGCCCACGGGGGTCTATCTGAACTTCCCTGTGTCCCGAAATGCCAACCTCAGCACCATCAAGAAGGTACGATCTTGACCTTAAAACTAGTTCTCAGAGCTTGGAACTCAGAGAAGCAGACAGATGGACTCTGCAACTCTCAGATTTGAGATCCTCAGCTATGAATTTTAAAAGATATGGAGGGGGTGCTTCCCTAGTGGCACAGTTGTTAAGAATCCGCCTGCCAATGCAGGGGACATTGGTTCGAGCCCTGGTCCAGGAAGATCCCACATGCCACGGAGCAACTAAGCCCGTGCGCCACAACTACTGAGCCTGAGCTCTACAGCCCGCGAGTCACAACTGAAGCCCGCGCACCTAGAGCCCGTGCTCTGTAACAAGAGAAGCCACCACAGTGAGAAGCACGCGCATCACAACAAAGAGTAGCCCCCACTCGTGGCACCTAGAGAAAGCCCGCACACAGCAACGAAGACCCAACACAGCCAAAAATCTTAAAAAATAAAATAAATTATAAAACAAGTAAATTAAAAAAAAAAAAAAAGATATGGGAATTCCTTGGAAGTTCAGTGGTTAGGACTCCACGCTTTCACTGCCCGGGGCCCAGGTTCAAGCCCTGGTCAGGGAACTAAGATCGCGCAAGCAGTGTGGCGCGGCCAAAAAAAAAAAAAAAAAAAAATTAAAAGATAAAAATAATGTCCAAGAATTGTTTAAAAACTCACAGTTGAAATCCACCTAGCTTTCCAAATTCAGCTCCCGCCTTTATCATGGCACGTTTACCCTTCCTAGATTCCTGTGAAAGCTTCAGGGTGCTGGTTCCCAGGGTGAACTTGCATCCTCTCCATGACTGTGCCATCACGTTTGAAACCACACCCCACGCACGGCCGCTTGAGTTCTCCCGGTCTTTTGTCTTCAGAGCTGTCATCATAGTCAACATCATCTTTGCAAATGGTTTTTGGCTTTGTTGAATAATTTTCATCGTGGATTACTGAGTCAAAGGATGAAATATCTGGATGGTATTTGGTAGATCTTGTCTTGTGACCTTTCAGAGGGCTTATCCCACTTGCAAAGTGTGGGATTTAATGGGTCATGGCAGAGGACAAGGCCTTAGCCCGGAATTTGAAAAGCTATACTTGGGAGCAGAAAAAAAAGGAGAGAAGCAATAGACCATACTTGAGTTTTGTTTTGTTTTGTTTTGTGTTTTAATCTTCCCTTCCTGGGTGTTTCTTTAAAAATGAAATTTCTTTTTTTCCATTTCAAAAGTACTATGGACACATTGAAATTTAGGAGAATAAGAAAAAGTAGAAGGAAAAAATTACCCATGATCCAGCCGTATGAGACAAGCACAGTTAACACTTTGGCTGTTTCCTATTTTCTTTTCTATGTAGTGTTTTTTGGTGATAGCTCTGATTATGAATTTTCATATCTTTTTTCTGAGTTAACATTGTAACATCCTTTTCATGTTATTAACCTTGTATAAATATCATTTTAATCTTTTTCTTTTTCCTCACAGGGCTCTACATGCATATTATTAAACTTCCAAATACCACAGAAATATAAAACACATCGGTCTCAGCAGTCTCACCTCATATCCCAGTTCAATTTCAATTTCTTTTTTTTTTTTAAGATTTTTTTTTTGATGTGGACCATTTTTAAAGTCTTTGTTGAATTTGTTACAGTACTGCTTCTGTTTTTATGTTTTTATATTTTTTGGTCGAGAGGCATGTGGGATCTTAGTTCCCCGACCAGGGATCGAACTCACCCCCTGCATCGGAAGGCAAAGTGTTAGCCACTGGACCGTCAGGGAAGTCCCCAGTTTCAATTTCTTAATATTTTAATTTATACCAGGGACCAGACAGTTAATATTCTAGGCTTTGCTGGTCATATGGTGTTTGTCACAACTACTCAACTCTGCCGTTGTAGGGCTGAAGCAGCCATAGACGGTGTGTAAGTGAATGGGTGCGTCTGTCTTCCAGTAACTTGGCAGACTGTAGCTTGCAGTAGTTCATACGTTTATCATCGTTTTTATGGGAATGAGCTTGAATTACAACTGCCGTTCTATAGCTTGGGGTCTTTTCCCACTTAATGCTGTATGTGGGAGCCCTGTGTGCATTGGTACAGGTATCCTTAGATTCTGGGTCACACGCCTGTGCTATCCGTTTGCATTGATGGAACGTAATTATCCATCCCCCGTGGAAGAAAAATAGAGCTGTTCTCCTTTTCCATCTTCTCTGTGACTCAGCGGTGAGCACCTTTGCACTAAGACTTGGTGCCCCAGTGGCGCTCCTGTGATCCCTGGGGATTCCTCACCCCGAGGCCACGTACTGGACACAGCCCGCGGAGGCGTTTATGGCCCCCTCGGTGTGTGAAACTTTTCTGAATTACTTGCCATCATTTAAAGACCAGGGTGATGAACCAGGAACGATTAGCTGGGTCCCTGGAGGTCAAGTCTGGATGGCCATCTCTCAGGGTAGCCTACAGGGGAGACCGTAGGACCCACCGCTCTGCTCCAGGTTTAGAGCCTACCTGGCCCCGTTCGTAGAAGGGCAGGGACGGCGACTCCCAGTGACCCTGTGGTCAATGCTCAAGGGACGGAGAGAGTAGTGGTCCTGGGATCTTGCCTTTGCCCCCTTGTCAGGGTCGTGAGACCAGCCTCCACCCGCCTCCCGGCTCCCTGGGGCCCCGCCCACCGTAGGGGAGGAGCTGACCGGCCACTTCCCTTCCAGGTGTTGTGGCACCGAGCCCAGTATGAGCCGCTGTTCCACATGCTCAGTGACCCCGAGGCCTACGTGTTCACCTGCGTCAACCAGACCGCGGAGCAGCAGGAGCTGGAGGACGAGCAGCGGCGGCTGTGCGACATCCAGCCCTTCCTGCCCGTCCTGCGCCTGGTGGCCCGCGAGGGTGACCGGGTGAAGAAGCTCATCAACTCGCAGATCAGCTTGCTCATCGGCAAAGGTGCCCTGCCGAGGCCAGGCCGTCCCACCTCCGCCGGGCCTGCCCCCCGCCCCCGCCCCGCCCCCGAGCCCCACGCTGACCCGGCTCCCCTGCCCCTCAGGCCTCCACGAGTTTGACTCCTTGCAAGACCCGGAGGTGAATGACTTCCGAGCCAAGATGCGCCAGTTCTGCGAGGAGGTGGCCGCGCACCGGCAGCAGCTGGGCTGGGAGGCCTGGCTGCAGTACAGCTTCCCCCTGCAGCTGGAGCCCTCGGCGCGGAGCTGGGGGCCGGGCACCCTGCGCGTCCCCAACCGGGCCCTGCTCGTCAACGTCAAGTTCGAGGGCAGCGAGGTGAGCGGTGTGCTGCATGCAGGCTGCCGTGTCCACGGGGGACACTTCCCCTGTGAGACTCCCGGTCACCCACCAGCCTCCCCAGTTCATCCTCCTCCCAGCAACATCGGGTGGTATTTGTAGGGTATCCATTGCATACGAGGGGCTTGGCCAAACGTCCCACCCGGCGAGTTCCACAAGGCAGAGTGACCAAGAGGCTTTGGTCCTCGGTCCACTCACGCATCCAACAGGTATTGCCTGGTGTCGGCCACGTGCCATCCTCAGAGCCTGCCGTCGTGGAGCTCACATTCAGGGGGCAAGGGGCGCCTAATACTTGCAGACGGGCCAGCCCACCCGCTGTGCCCCAGAACCCCGTGGGCTCTTCGCAGGCGTGGAGGACTGACCCTCCCTCCTCCCCCTAGGAGAGCTTCACCTTCCAGGTGTCCACCAAGGATGTGCCCCTGGCACTGATGGCCTGCGCGCTCCGGAAGAAGGCCACGGTGTTCCGGCAGCCGCTGGTAGAGCAGCCCGAGGACTACACACTGCAGGTGAACGGGAAGCACGAGTACCTGTACGGCAGCCACCCCCTCTGCCAGTTCCAGGTGAGGCCTGGGGTCCGGGAGGGGTTCCTGGGTTCCCTGCAGTCCTGGCCTGGGGCCTGGGTTGGGGCGGCGGGGGGGCGGGAGCTGGTCCTCGGCCCCTCTCGAGCCCGACAAGCCAGACCTTGGGGGTCACGGTGAGAGTGCGCCCTTGCTGGGCTGGCTCTCCCCGTGAGCACAGGGAGGTGGGCGGGGGCAGGAAGGGCCAGCAGGAGAGGCCCCAGAAGGCCTGGCGTGGGCAGGGGCCAGCGTGGGGCATCCCTGGGTAGCCGGTCGTCCAGGGAACAGTGGAGCCACTCACCCCGCCCCCCATCTCAGTACATCTGCAGCTGCCTGCACAGCGGGCTGACCCCCCACCTGACCATGGTGCACTCCTCTTCCATCCTCGCCATGCGGGATGAGCAGAGCAACCCCGCCCCCCAAGTCCAAAAGCCACGCGCCAAACCGCCCCCCATTCCTCTGAAGAAGGTGAGCTGGCGCCCTGCACTTACCCTCCCCTGCAGCCCTCCTTCCCACCTGAGGTCCAGCCCTGGTGCCTATTGGGCATCGCCCTGGACCAGCCATAGGTCCAGGGGTCCCTTGTCTCATGCCTTCTGGTTGCTCGGGATTGAGAGTTGGGCCTCTGGGCTGGGGTGGACTCCTGGCTGGACTCCTGGGGCAGCCTCCAGGCCTGGCGCTTGGCTGCCTGCCCCTCCTGTCTCCCGTGCTGTAGGCAGAACTCCATGCCCTGCAGCGCTCGGGGGCGGAGGGGGGTGGTCTTGGGCCCCCTGAGGCGCCTGCACGGCAGGTTTTCTGGTAAAGGATGGCGTTGCGGGCAGGAATCTGCAACAGCCTTGCCGCCGCGGTGGCCACGCGCCCTGGCAGCGCCGGGAGCGCAAGCCTCCCCTGAATTCCCCTGCTTTAACGCCCCCGCTTCTCCCCTCCACCCCGCCCAGCCCGCCTCGGTGTCCCTGTGGTCCCTGGAACAGCCTTTCTGCATCGAGCTGATCCAGGGCAGCAAAGTGAATGCCGATGAGCGGATGAAGGTAGGGGCTCCTGGGCCTGGAAGGGCCCGGGGAGTGCGTGTTTTTTGCACAAACACGGTGGCTGTGGCCTGGAGAGGTGGCGGAGGAAGAAGGAGGGGGGTGTCACACGAAAGCCACCTGACCACATTACCCAGCATCCCTGCCGGGGGTGGTGATGAGCTGCTTCAAAACAGGAAGGGGGGAGGGGAGCAGGCCAGCCGGCCAGAGAGGACAATTCGGAGAAACCGGGCCCAGCGAGTTCTGGGTATTGACTTTGGTGGAGGTAGTGGGGCCAGGCCCAGCCCAGGGATAGAGGAACCGCAGAGCCTGGGAGGTGACAGGCGCAGAAGGGGAGCCGCTCCAGCTGGGCCGGGGCCAAGGCCACGGCCACCTCTGGGTCGTTCACACGCCCACCTCCTCTGGGTCGTTCACACGCCCACCTCCTCTGGCCTCAGGACGGCCCTGTGAGGTGCAGGTTTTCTCGTCCCATTTGCAGGACGGGAAACCCGGGTCCAAGGAGGTCAGGGCTCTTTGGGGAGCACTTTTTGGTTGGGGTAATTTCACAAGCAGGGCAGGCGTGGGCTCCCATGGATGAATCCTGGAGGGCTGCATGGGCCAGCTTTCTGGCCGGGCCATGAGGAGGCAGGGCGAGATGTGCAGGCGGCATTAAGTCCTTCCCTGCCTACGGGGGCTCATGCCCCTTCTGAGCAGCGGGGGCAGCCTTGGGTGCTTAAGCTAGAAGGGCCCCTGGAGTTCCCGAGCCCTGATGGGGAAACTGAGGCCCAGAGCAGGGAGCCAACACGCCCCAGGGTCCCGCAGTCAGTGGGGAGCACAGCCCACACCGCCCTCCCCTTCCCCCCAGGACCACACCTCCCCCTCAGGCAGCCAGCCCTCCCTTTTCCGGACCACCTTCAAGCACCTGGCGGGGGAGGGTTCAGACCCACGTGAAATGAGGACCTTTCAGGAGGAGATTCGAGCCTTAGGTGGGAGGGACACCCGGGCAGGAGAGGGAGTCTGCGCCTCTGCTGCCTGCCACCCGCACCGTGCCTTCCCCAGCTGGTGGTGCAGGCCGGCCTCTTCCACGGCAACGAGACGCTGTGCAAGACGGTGTCCAGCTCGGAGGTGAGCGTGTGCTCAGAGCCTGTGTGGAAGCAGCGGCTGGAGTTCGACATCAACATCTGTGACCTACCGCGCATGGCCCGCCTCTGCTTTGCGCTCTACGCCGTGATCGAGAAGGCCAAGAAGGCTCGCTCCACCAAGAAGAAGTCCAAGAAGGCGGTGGGTGGGGCCGGTCGGGAGGCACTCCGTAATGGGCCCAGTCCAGTCCCGCAGCCCACCCCGGGGCCACTGCTCATCCCGTTCCCAGCATCTCAGCTGGCACGCAGCCTGGGGATGGGGTCCAGGAGGGCCTGTGAACCCCAGCCTCTCCACACCGCGCGTGCGCACACAACACACACACACACACACACGCGCGCGCGCCCGCACGCACACTAGCCACCACCCCTGCCTGCCATGTGATGGTGCTGGGTTCCTGGGCTTATGAGCACGGTGACTCGGAATATCTGGGCCTGGGCCTTTGGTCCTTGTGGGAACCTGGAGGGAGCTCCCTGCCCTGGAAGGACAAATGCAGTGTCCTTGCAGGGAGCGGGGTGGCCTGAGTCAGCAGCCAGTTGGAGACAGAGTGGTGGTCGAGCACTGAGTCACTGGGCCCAGGATGTGACTGACCACCGAGCCACCCTGACTCACTCGTAGCTGAGCTGGGCCAGCTCCCTAGGGCCTATGTGGTTTGTTTGAGGCTTTCTCAAGAAGCCGAGAGTGGGATGCATCCGGGAGCAGAAGGGAGTCGAGGGGTGACTGACTGCCAGCTGCTTCAAAGGGAGTCTGGGCAAGGGTGGGAAGCATGGTCTGGCTGGGCCCATCCTGCAGATGAGCAAACGGGGGCTTTCTGGCGGCTGGCTGTGACCTGCCCGGTTTCTCTCCCAGGACTGCCCCATCGCCTGGGCCAACCTCATGTTGTTTGATTACAAGAACCAGCTCAAGACTGGCGAGCGCTGCCTCTACATGTGGCCCTCCGTCCCAGGTTGGCCCAGGCCAGGAGGGAGAGGCAGAGGCCAGGGGACTGGGGAGGTGGGTCCCACACGTGATGACATTCCCCTTGCAACTCTGTCTGTCCTTGTATCCAGACGAGAAAGGGGAGCTACTGAACCCCTGTGGGACCGTGCGGAGTAACCCCAACACTGAGAGCGCAGCTGCCCTGGTCATCTTTCTCCCTGAGGTGGCCCCCCACCCTGTATACTACCCTGCCCTGGACAAGGTCAGTGAGGGGGCCCTCGCCATTTGGGGGCCAGGACCCACCCTGCCCAGAAACCTCGAAGCTAAAGGTTAACTGTCCTGACCCTGCCTCTGGGGCTCCCCAGGACATGGTCCCTGCACCCCGTGAGTTGCCCGGGCTGGGAGCTGGGTGCCCACACACGCTTGGGGGCTTCCTTGACTCTCTGGAATCCTCATGTGTCCTAGAGCAGTGATTCTCAACCGGGGGCCGCTTTGCCCCCCAGGGGACTTTGGGCAATGTCCAAAGGCATTTTTGGTTGTCACAACTAGTGGGAGAGATGCGCCTGGCATCTCATGGGCGGAGGTCAGGGATGCTGCTAAACGCCCTACAGCACGCGGGGGAGTCCCCACCACTGAGAGTCACTGGCACGCAAAGTCAGCAGTGCCGAGGTGTTGACGCCCGCCCCGGGGGCCCCGCAGGCCAGGCTGGCCCAGGCCCCGGGGTTGCCGCTGACAGCAGGGTCGCTCTTGCAGATCCTAGAGCTGGGGCGGCATGGGGAGCACGGGCGCTTCACGGAGGAGGAGGTGAGCTAGGGGCCGTGGGCGGTGGGGCGTGGACCTGGCTGCAGCCCTCACCGCCCCCCCACCTCCACCTGTGCCCCTCAGCAGCTGCAGCTGCGGGAGATCCTGGAGCGCCGGGGGTCCGGGGAGCTATACGAGCACGAGAAGGACCTGGTGTGGAAGATGCGGCACGAGATCCAGGAGCACTTCCCCGAGGCGCTGGCCCGGTTGCTGCTGGTCACCAAGTGGAACAAGCACGAGGACGTGGCCCAGGTAGGCGGCAGGGCCGGGGCCGGGGGAGGGGGCAGAGTCTGGAGCCAGACCGCAGCCTGCGCCCCCTGCCCTGACCACCGGCACCCCCCAGATGCTCTACCTGCTGTGCTCCTGGCCCGAGCTGCCCGTCCTGAGCGCCCTGGAGCTGCTGGACTTCAGCTTCCCTGACCGCCACGTGGGCTCCTTTGCCATCAAGTCCCTGCGGAAACTGACGTGAGTCCCGCGGGCTTCCTCATCTTCAGAGGGCGGCTTTGCCCCAATGGCCCGGGTCTAGCCACTGGCTGGGGACCTCTCCTGGGGGCCTGCTCAGGTGAGGCTGGCCTCCCGCCCCTACCCTGCCCCCTCGCCAGCTGCAGACCCTCTCCCGAGCCGTGAAGCTCCGGGTCCCAGCCAGCCTCCCTTCTCTGCAGGGACGACGAGCTTTTCCAGTACCTGCTGCAGCTGGTGCAGGTGCTCAAGTACGAGTCCTACCTCGACTGCGAGCTGACCAAATTCCTGCTGGACCGGGCCCTGGCCAATCGCAAGATCGGCCACTTCCTCTTCTGGCACCTGCGGTAGCTGCACTCACCTGGAAGGCCACGGGGAGGAGGGGCCTCTTGCCTGCGGGCCTCGCGTCTCTGCCGGCCAGCCCGGGTGTCCTCGGTGGCTGGGTCCTGCCGGGCTGGGAGGGGCTGTGTGGCCCCGCCTGGCGAGGCGAGGCTCAGCCCCTTCTTCCTCCCTCCAGCTCCGAGATGCACGTGCCCTCGGTGGCCCTGCGCTTCGGCCTCATCATGGAGGCCTACTGCAGGGGCAGCACCCATCACATGAAGGTGCTGATGAAGCAGGTGAGGCTCGGGGCCCCCGCACCCCTGCCTGGGCTCTGCTTTGGGGCAGAGTTGCCCCAACCCCTGTAGAGCCGCGTGGGCCAGGCCGAGGCTCGGAGCCTGCCTCTCCCAGCCGGCCCACGCTGCCCTCCCATCCTCCTGGCCAGGGGGAAGCGCTGAGCAAGCTGAAAGCCCTGAACGACGTCGTCAAAGTGAGCTCCCAGAAGACCACCAAGCCCCAGACCAAGGAGCTGATGCACCTGTGCATGCGCCAGGAGACCTACCTGGAGGCCCTCTCCCACCTGCAGTCCCCGCTCGACCCCAGCACCCTGCTGGCTGAAGTCTGGTGAGCCCCAGGCCCCAGCCGGGGCCTCCCCACCTCCTCCCCTCCCCCCAGGCCCTGAGGAGGGCCCGCTGCTGACTGCGGTCTCGTCCGGCAGCGTGGAGCAGTGCACCTTCATGGACTCCAAGATGAAGCCCCTGTGGGTCCTGTACAGCAATGAGGAGGCGGGCAGCGATGGCACCGTGGGCATCATCTTTAAGAACGGGGACGGTGAGCAGGCCGGGCCCCGGCCAGGGACCCGCTGAGGCCTTGGCTTCCCCTCGCCCTGCCGTGCTACCCTCGGCGGGGGCACCTTGCAGTGGGGGCCAGGGGCAGATCTCCTGGAGGGCGAGCTGACGAAAACACAGAGTCTTGGGACTCTGGGGCCTGGGCATGGCTGGGATTGGAGAACCCACCAGAAACTCATGCCTTTCCTCCCCGGGGGTGGCTGCACAGACCTCCGCCAGGACATGCTGACCCTGCAGATGATCCAGCTGATGGACGTTCTGTGGAAGCAGGAGGGCTTGGACCTGAGGTGAGAGGCCCTCCCGTCATCCACTTGTGCCTGCACCAGGCTTAGGACCATACCCCGTCGGAGGGGTCCCCTGTCAAAGCTGACATTACCACCTCAGCTGGAAAAAAGACTGGCTCTTCTAAGAAGAGCAGGGACCAGTTTGAAACTCGGGGTCAGGGAGGCGATAGGGCCACAGGATGAGGGTGGAGAAGGCCAGCCCTGGCCCTTTGCACTGTCTCCCTCCATTGGTCCCTTTGCCTCAAACATCCCTGGCTTCCTGCCCCATCATCTTCCAAGCCACCTGGATTTTTCTTTCTGAGCAAACATGAGTTCAGCCACGGTGCCGACTCTTCCTCTCTGCATCTTGGGTGCTGGTGTGGCCTCTCCAAGGAACCTTCCCTGGAGCCCTGGGAGTCAAGGGCTCGCCCCTAGTACCTGCCTCCTCTTTTCAGCAACTTGAGTAGCATCTCCTGCAGCCTTTTTGGGTTAAGCTCCTCGGGGTCAAGAAGCCCCTGGGACAGCCCTTGACCACTGTGTCCACCTGCCCCTCCTCCCACCTGGCTAGGATGACCCCTTACGGCTGCCTCTCCACCGGGGACCACACAGGCCTCATCGAGGTGGTGCTTCACTCAGACACCATCGCCAACATCCAGCTGAACAAGAGCAACATGGCGGCCACGGCTGCCTTCAACAAGGATGCTCTGCTCAACTGGCTCAAGTCCAAGAACCCTGGGTAGGTTTCAGGCCCAAGGGACAGATGCCCTCTCCTTCCCAAGAGGCAGACCTCGGGAATCAAAGGCAAGGAGGAGGGGCTTTGACTGTCTCTGTGGCTTCTTGGCTCAGCTGAGGGCCATCCCATAGATGCTGTGGGGTGGGGGGGTGGGGGAGTGGGTCAGGTCTCTATTCCCACATGTATCAGTTAGTTATTGCCGCATAACAACCAACCCGAACTTAGGGGCCTAAACCACAAATCTGCAACTTGAGCTGGCTCAGCTGAGTGGTTCTTCTGCTTTAATCACTCACACAACTGCTCTCATCTGGTAGTTTGACTGGGCCTGGAGGATTGCACGTCTGGGGCTTCTCTCCATGTGGCCTCTCATTGTAGCCTCAGTTTCCTTCCATGACAGTAGGGGAGGTTCAGGAACTGCAAGGTGTCTTAAGGCCCAGGCTCTGGAAGGTGCCCAGCATCACTTCCTCCATGTTCTGTTGGTCCAAGCAAGTCACAAGGCCAGATTCAAGGGCAGGGGACATAGACACCACCTCTTGGTAGAAGAAGCTGCAAAACGGTGTGGCCGTGGTTTCCATCCCTGCCCCCCAGGGAGGCCCTGGATCGAGCCATTGAGGAGTTCACCCTCTCCTGCGCTGGCTACTGTGTGGCCACATACGTGCTGGGCATCGGCGATCGGCACAGCGACAACATCATGATCCGGGAGAACGGGCAGGTAGGGGTGGTGTGGGGCTGCCGTGAGCATGGTGCCTGCCGCACGGCGCTGGCCCGCTGGCCGTTCTGCTCTGCACACGGCTGCTGGCAGAGCCCCCTGTCCAAGCCCTTCCAGCTCCCTCTCCCTCCCCAGGCTCCTCTGGGTGAGGCACCCTCCTTTTTGACTCCTTTTGGGTCTTTGCTCTTCCCTCCCCTCAGCTGTTCCACATTGATTTCGGCCACTTTCTGGGGAATTTCAAGACCAAGTTTGGAATCAACCGTGAGCGAGTCCCGTTCATCCTCACCTATGACTTTGTGCACGTGATCCAACAGGGGAAGACGAATAATAGTGAGAAATTTGAAAGGTGAGGGTGCCTCAGACCCCCGAGATGCCCCTTGGTGCCGGGGGCGGTCAGTCAGAGGACGCTGGGGCTTTGTGGGCACGGCTCCTTCCAGGGTGAGGGCGGGCTGGCCGGCTGGCTGGGGTGCGGGGGGACGGGAGGACCCAGGGCCCGCTCCCTGACCTCCCACTACAGGTTCCGGGGCTACTGTGAAAGGGCCTACACCATCCTGCGGCGCCACGGGCTGCTCTTTCTCCACCTCTTTGCCCTCATGCGGGCGGCAGGCCTGCCTGAGCTCAGCTGCTCCAAAGACATCCAGTACCTCAAGGTAAACGCCAGGGCAGGGCCCCGCCAGGCAGGAGACCAGGGAGCCCCAGACTCCTCGAGGCACCACCCCCCCCAACCCCCGAGCGTGGTGGACCCACAGGGCCCTCCTGACTCGTGTGTGTTCACACCGGCCTGGGACCCGGGTCTGGCAGGAAGCCACCGGCTCTGGCCCACCCTCCCGTCCTCCGCAGGCTGCGGGCGTTTCCACTTGTACAAGAGGGTTCCCTCCATGGTTAAAAACTGTCTTTCCTTCCTGCGTCTTTTCAGTTTATGAGACGCTGGGGCGGGGACTGAGGTGGGGGGGGCCATGGCCCCCGAGTTCCTGGGAAGAAGCTGCTCCCTCCCTTCTTCCTCTTGCCAGCTTCCAGTGGAGAAGGCCAAGCCGCCTGCCTTTGGGGCCAAGACCTCCGGGCTCAAGTTGGCATCTTATTTTGAGGATGGGGCGGGGCAGGGGCCGCCTTGGTTGGGGTCGGAACGAAGAGCTCTTCCCGGGGGAGGTGTTGGGTGGCGCCCTCCTGGCTCCCTTGGTGCAGTTCTCTTAGGAGGGAGCGTTACCTGCCCAGAGTGGGTGGAGGTGCAGGGAGACGGGGCTCCCTGCTGAGCAGGGCCCAGGCCCCTCCGTGGGACGCCCATTGCTTCCATCTTGCCTCAGGATTCTCTGGCATTGGGGAAGACGGAGGAGGAGGCTCTAAAGCACTTCCGGGTGAAGTTTAACGAAGCCCTCCGGGAGAGCTGGAAAACCAAAGTGAACTGGCTGGCCCACAACGTGTCCAAAGATAACAGGCAATAGCAGCCCGTCCAAGCCCTGGGCCTGGAGACAACCGAGCTGTCAGTCTTGGGAGCCGGGCACCCTCGGCCACCCTCCGGGACCTGAAAGGCTGGACGGCATCCTTGGGAAAGAACCTACACAACTGCCTTTTGTTTACACTGGTTATTTATTTATGACTTGAAATGTTTCGGGAACTAAACAGCCATACATGGAAATGTACCCTAATGTGGGGGGGGGCACCGTCCTCCCACTTCCCCATCCAAGCCCTGGGCTTTGATGGGAAGACACTGTGAACCCGGCACCTCGAGGCCGCATCTCGCCGAGGATCTGTGACCTCAAGTCTTCCAGCTGGTGGGTCTGGAGCCGGCAGAGATGATTCTCCCGTCCGGGAGCTGCCTCCTCCCCAGGCTCCTGCCGTGCTACACCGGTCCTGGTGCCTGGCAGTGACCCGGTACCTGCTGTCCAGACAGGGCACCCACGCCTGTTCACCCCCTCCACCTGCGTGCCCTCCACTGACTGAGTTCTGGGCAGCCCCCAGAGGAGGCCTGGGTACCCTCTAGATTCAGGGATGATTGCTTTCCACGTTTTTTTTTTTTTTTGCGGTACGTGGGCCTCTTACTGTTGTGGCCTCTCCCGTTGCGGAGCACAGGCTCCGGACGCGCAGGCTCAGCGGCCATGGCTCACGGGCCCAGCCGCTCCGCGGCATGTCGGATCCTCCCGGACCGGGGCACGAACCCGTGTCCCCTGCATTGGCAGGCGGACTCCCAACCACTGCACCACTAGGGAAGCCCTGCTTTCCACTTTTAAAGCGACTCCTGGGTACGGGAATTCATCTCTGCTGTAAAGTCATTTTGTTTGCGGGTGAGAAAAAAAATAGCCAAACTACTTTACTGAACCTCTACGGCTCGGGAGAGAGGCGCCAGCGCCCATCACATATAGCGCACGCTGGTCCTCGAGACACATTAAAAAGGCCTGAGCTCGATTTAGCTCATCCTGGTCATGGATCAAGACACAAGCAGGTGCGAGTACTTTGTGCAATTGTATGTAACCTCCCTCCTCCTAAAGCAGGTTTTAGGTCATGAAAGACCTGATCTCCTCTCCACAACGCTCACCTTTGAGAACCTGCTCCCAGTACCCAGGCAGCAGAAGCGTGAGAGTTAGGGGTGTGGTGGCATCTTTTCCTCTGACGGTACTTAGCTTGAAATGATTCAGGCTCAGCCTTAGGTGCGTCTGAGGAGCTCGAGAAATGCAGGTTCCCGGGCCTCCCTCAGCCTTCTGGAGCCAACTCTGGAGATGGGGCTAAGAACCTGGGCTTCTGGAAGCCCACAGGTGAGCTTCATGTATTAGCAGCCGACTCGGGACCCACAGGGGCGACACCACTTACCTCTCAAAAGGCTTTGCACGGCTCAGCAGAGCCAGAAGTAGCTGCCCTGTCAGCAGCCTGGTGCACGGCTTCCAGAAGAGTCCAGGTGCCAACTCTGTTTCTTGGTTCACGAGAGGTGGCCGAGAGGCACTGCCCATAGCAATCCATGCCACCCACAGAGCCCCACTGACCAGACTCTGGTTCCCAACTAAGTGCTGAATTCATCAGACCCATCCACCTGTTTGGAAATAGGAAAAGCCGAGTGTATGTCTACTTGTTATTTATTTGGACGAGTCTGTGCTTCGTGGTGTGGGCAGCACACTGCATATACACAGCAATAGCCGGTTGGGTGCATGGCCTGTGTGCCTGACGAGAAGAGTATTTTCTATTTTTTTTAAATCATTTGATGTTTCTGTATGGGAAAGGTGAGTTCAGCGTAACTGATGTAGGTTCAACAGTCTGAAACCTTGAAATGAGAGGTAAAAACAGATTAGAAGAAATAAAATCCTTGGTATGTTATGCTCTTGGCTCAGAAAGAAACAAGAGGATGCAGGATTAAGATGAAAACAAGACCCAAAACAAATCGCTCTCCCACTGGAGTTAGAACAGACTTTATTGTATGTATACGCTTTCTGACCTATCATCAATATACACATCTGAAAAGTGATACCACGGCGGCTACAGACAGCGCGGAGGGTCCCGTCTACGCATTAGCGTCTATCCACGGTCTAAACAGAGCAGCGACGGTGACAGTACATGGAGGGGTGGCCACACACGACACAGGACAGCTGGCAGTGTCCTCGAAACTAGCAGTTATGATCACAGAACAGTGTTCAAAATTATTTTCCCCCCGTTTTAGAAATCTAAAAATTTACACGTAAATTAAAAACCACGTGCTGTAGGGGTTTTTGCTCCTGACTGCGGTTCTCTCCTTTCACCACCTACTGGGCATGGTTTCACCCCCCGGGGGCTCTGGGGAGGAGGGGCGCAGGTGCTCGGGGAATCGAGCACTGCCTTCAGGCCATTGGGCGTCATTTCCGCCAGGTTCTGAGTACGGATCCCCCAGGCCTGTTGCTGTCTCCAGACCAAGTGGTCAGAGGGTCTGCACCATCCACATGATCGAAACATACTCTCACCGGCAAGGAAACCTGCATCTATTCAGTATGGACCCCAAGGCTGCACCTGAGTCCAGGTTCCTGCATGAGGAAATGCCAGTCCTTGGAGAAGGGAGCAAACATGGCCAGGGACCCCAGCTCCCCGCAGCCCTCAATGGGTAGAATCCCAAAGAAAAGACCTGGCCGTTTCCAGCCTCCAAAGAGGGGTCCCTCATCCGGTCCCCTCCTGCCGGGCAGCAGATCAATGTCTGTGCTCCTTTCTCCTCATCTTGGGGTGGGGTGGGGGGCGGGGTGGGATGGGCAGGGTCTCCGGTCCCTGCCCTCCCACGCTCAGTGTCTCCGCTCCACTTTGCATCCAGCCCCGGATTATGCTAGCACAAAAGACACGAGGAATCCCAATTTATTTACAAAATATTAAAAAGTCAGTTCATCATCTACATATTAACCCCATTCTGCCATTTTATACATGCACTAGTTTGGAAAAAATAAAAACTTTTCTTTTAAAAAAAAAAAAAGAAGAGGACTACCAGGTAGGAGTGAGCAACTCTAACCCTTTGTCAAGGAGTCCAGTCACTGCAGCTTTTCTGGAGTTGACATCAGCCACAGAGCGAGCGTCAGCTCCTCACATAACTTAAGAGCGAGCAGGGCGGACGAAGGGAGGGAGCAAGGGGGAGCCTATGGCCCTATACACCAAGCGTGGGCGGAGATCGGCGACGGGGAGGCTCTGCAGACCTACTGGCCAGGATGACTCTGTACATCGTGGACCCTTGGGGTGGGCACAGGGATGACAGCAAAGCCTCCTGAAGCAGGAAAGAAGGCGACGGCGGGCGGGCACGGCCGCGGCTCAGTAGCTGAGGGTGGAGTCGTCCCACTCCAGCTGCTGCTGCCGGCTCGCAGTCTGCCGGTCACCGGGCTCCACCCCCTCCTCCTCGCTGCTCTCCGACTCGGCGCTGGTGATGTCATCCTCCTCGTCCCCGGCGTCGCTCTCCTCCTCCTCCTCCTCCTCCTCCTCCTCCTCCTCGCTGCTGTGCTGGTCCTCGTATGTCTGACAGAGAGACACGGCGACCAGGCGATGAATCCAGCCCCTCCCCCGCCCCAGCTGGTGACCCAGGGTTTGTCCACCGGCTGGAAGCCACATCCCACGACCCAGCAAGAGGGGCTGGACTAGGCTCCTCACCAAAGACGAAGGGAAGCACAGCTCCGGGCACCAGCCACAGCCGGACCGTGACCCTAAAGCAGGCCCCCCCAGGCCTCAGTTTGCCCACGCGGGGTCACGGTGCGGACCACGCAGAGCATGTGAGCTTGAAGGTTAGCTGAGCCTCCCTGGGGCCCTGGCCTGCAGGGGTTCTCAGTCGGGGCGTCACCGCCCTCGCCTACCTCCATGGGGTTCACGGTGATGGTCAGGGCAGAGTCGTCCCAATCCATCTCGTTCTCTTTGCCGCTGTCCTGGTCCCGCATGGTCCTCTGGTGAGCAGCCCGGATCCGGAACACTCCCAGGATGATCATGAAAACCAGGAAGCTGACGCACACCACGATGACGACGGTTGCGGTGCTGGGGACGACTGCGGGGGAGAGGACACAGGACGGCTGTGATGACGAGACCCGACCCGACCCGCCGTGTGCCCTCGGCCTCCACTGCTTGCTCCGTCCACCCCCCAGAGAACGGGAGGAGCTCCGAGAAAAGGCTCAGCACGGGTTCAAGTCTGGGTTCGGGCCCCCACCGCCCCGTCCGTGCTCCGGTTTCCTCGTGTGACGTGGAATAACAGCCAGGCCGCTGGTGGCTGTTCTGAGCGGCGGTGGGGGAAGAGGGGGGCTGAGCTCACGGCAGGAGCCGGGGAGGGGCGTCCCAGGCCTACCTGCGAACGGGTGGGGGTTGGCCAGGTTGTGACCTGAGAGGTCAATGAAGGAGCGGTGCTCGGGGTGGACGAACTGCGGCTGCGCGGCCATGTGGCTGGCGTGCTCCACGGGGTTGGCCGTGTGGATGACGTTCACCTGCAGCGGAGACACAAGGGCAGCCTGAATGTGTCCGCGGATGGAGTGGACATGCACTTGACCAGCACCACCGAAGTGGGCCCTGGACCGGTGCTGGCGGGCAGAGAGAAGAACAGAAGCGGCCAGGGAGGCTGCTGTGACCACGTGACGCTGTCACACAGCCAAGAACATTCTGCTGTTGGAATAGCTCACTTCTATTGTATCTAATAAAATAATTCATCCACCACAGACTGGAGAAGACACAGCACCACCACTGGCCCTTCACCACGGGTGGTTCGAGAAGCCCGGGCACACCACATTGCCCCTCTTTTCCCAAAGCTACAGCCACGTGAAAGAGAGCACAAATCAGAGCCTTTATTTCCTTTCAAATCTGCTACCCTTCGGCTCAAAGAAAACACTCGTGGGCTCTTCAGCCCTGGGAGTTTAATTCTGCTGCTACGGGGTCACAACGGAAGCGTTCAATTGCTGAGAGTAACTTTGGGTCCATTTCTCCAGGGCACAGAAGCTCCGAGTGATACGAAAGGTGTCCCAGCAGGACGAGTGCCCTCTGGCCATTGCGGCCTAAGTCCCCACGACCACGTTCAGTGGAGAGCAGCCCTGCCGGTGCTGGCGGCAACCCTCGCCCTGCGCCAAGGATCTATTCACGGCAGGGCCAGCCATCTGCAACGAAGCCCCGGCTCCCCCGGTGAAAGCAGTGTCAAATCTCAAGAAACAACCTCGCCCCTCAGCCCGAGGCACGGACCGCCACTCGGTCCTGACCGCCTCCCTCCAGAGGCCCCTCTGACTCTCAGGCTAAGGCAGCCTGTGAAGGGGGGGCACCGTGCTGGGCCCCAGCCCACCCCGTGTATAACCTGTCCCCCCAAACCTCTGCAGGTCTAATGGGGAGCAGCCCCCCGGCTGGGAAAGGCAACCCACCCCAGGATGAACCTAAACAGTTGCCACCACGAATGCTCTAAAAATCGGCATTGGCAAACATCAGGGCCGTGAGCGAGGCACCCGGTCACCACGCTGCTGCCCTGCTCAGCACAGCCCGGCACCCACCTCCACCTGGAACTCGTTGCTGACGTAGCGACCATTCAGCTCGGAGCAGACGAGCTTGAACTTCCGGTCAAGCAAGGACCTGGTGTGCCAGTTCCGGTAGCGCAGGAGGTGCAAGACCTCCTCGTAGCTAGCCATGGTGTCGACACCTGCGGGGAAGACAGCACGGCTGAGCTTAGGGACACGGGCCGAGGGCGAAGGCGGGCTGCAGGCGGGCCCCAGAGCCACCCGGCCGCGCGTCTGGCTTGCCAACTGCGGGGGCGTCGTCCCCTGCTGAGGGGCAGGTACCACACACGCCCAAACTTCCACCCGTTATGAGGACTGGACACCAGGCAGAGCTGTGCTCCCCTTCCCGTCTGGGAGAAGGTGCGTGGCCACCACTCATCCTTTCCCACCTCCTCCAGGACTCTCTCCAGCTGCTGAGCTGGGAGGAGGTGGGCGCTGAGCTCTGAGCCTTCACTCTCCCAGTCTGGGGTCTGGCCTCTCACCTGTGAAGACCACACCCAGGTCAGAGCTGCTCACTTCGATGCCCTTCTGCTGCAGGCGGGCCGTGTCCACTTCTAGGCTCTCCTGCTCTCGGTTCAGTTCCTCTCCCTCCACCGTGACCTCGCAGGTGTCTAGGTCGTGGACAATCTCCTCTGACACCAGTGACTCTTGAACTGCAAAAATGGCCCAACCGGAAATAGCAGAGGCTGTGGAGCCCAGGGAGGTGCTCACAGCGACAGCCTGTCTGCTCATCCTCCAACTCACAGAGGCCTTTTAGGGACCACGGATGGAGGTACGGGACAGTCATTTTCAAGAATTGGGGGTGCTTTATGTGTCTAGGAGGACTGGCCACCAGGAAGGCCCGAGAATGGGGGGCCAGCCAGCAGGAGCACCCCCACAGCAGCAACCCCTGCCCTCTCAACCCACAAGAGCCATCCCAGATACTGAGGTCAAGCTGGAAAAAAGATGAAAGGACCCTCTAGGTGGGTTTCCAAAGATCATAATGAGCTCTGGCCCACGGGTCCGATTCCAGAAGCAGACCCAAGAACAGCATTAGAACATTCAAGTCTACAAAATCACAGAGGAAAAGGGCCAAGGAATAAGCAGCAGCAGGGGGGTTTCAGCCGCCCACTTCTGGGCGACGGGTCTAGGCCGTCACCTGTGGGGTCCTCGTCCCCTTCTCCTTCGGGCTCCACCTCTCTCGTGATGGTGCTGATGATCCGAAGCTCGGGGAAAAGGAAAACCCCCTCCGCGCTTTCAAATTCGGAAGCCGCTCGAGCGAAGTGGTGGATGCCACTCAGACTGATCTTGGGCTCTTCCGGCTGCAGAACCATCACGTAGCCATCCAACGCGGGGACTGAGAGGCAGGCGGCCTCGTTGAAACACCTGCCAAGGAAGGGGATGGAGGGTCAGGGCTTTAAGGGCGGCTTCTCAAGCCACACGGACAAAGGCGCTCGGAGGCGGACCCCAGGATTCCACGACCACCTGGCGGACAAGACGCCGGCCGCTCCCAGAATGTGCTTCCAAACGTCACTTAAACTTGCTGGGAACGAGGGACAGATCACCTTTCCTTACAGAAGGGAGGCTGGGTTGACGTAAAAACCTAAATACACACATTTTCTTCTCAAGGGTCACGGAGCAAAGACAGGTTTATTGTTAAAAGTCAGCACATACTTGACCACGCTGGTGATTTTGAGTCTTCGGATCCCGGGTGTGGGGAACTGTCGTGAATTCAGGTAGGAAATGTGCTGCATGGCCTTATCCAACTCCGCTACATCCTCTCCCTCCAAGGTCAACACTGACTGACTGGGGTTGGCTTGGATCTGAAATGGCACCAAAACAGAGAGACAGGAACAGAATAAGGTTCTAACGGCAAGACGCTGAAACCACAAACACTTTGACCAAGAGGATTAGCTTGGGACTGATTCGAATTGGTGACTTGGAGAAGAAAAGCGCACGTAATTCCAGTGACTGTGACCCTATTACATGATGGTAAATATCTAAGGCACAGACAGATCTGTGACATAATAAATATATATTTGGTCTTTGTCCCTGGTTTCTGGCACAGAGCTCCTAAAACTTCTGGAATTTCCTGACGGACAGGGGCATCTTTTTTCATTCCTAATAAGCCCCTTTCAGCCGCCCCCAGAATCTACCTTAACGAGGTGACTCTTGGATGCGGACTGGTTGCCAAAGAAACCAACCACATGATTACACTGGACCTTCAGCCTCACCTCTAAACTCCGGGGAGGGGACAGGGACTGGATATTGAGTTAATCAATCAACAGTGGTCAATGATTTGGTCAATCATACCTACATAACAGACCCTCCACAAAAACTTCTCAACGACAGGGTCTGGAGCGCTTCTGGGCTGGTGGACACAGCGAGGTGCCGGGAGGGTGGTGCACCTGGAGGGGGCGTGGAAGGCCCGTGCACCCTCCTCCACTCCTGGCCCTGGGCCTCCCTTCCACCTGCTTGTTCCTGAGTTGTATCCTTCATGATAAGCCAGTAATAGTAAGTGAACTGTTTTCTGAGCAGTTCTAGCAAATTAGTGAACCTGAAAAGGGCGAGGGATTGTGGGAACCCTCGACTTTTTTCAGCCAAGTGTGGGTACCAGAGGCCCAGATCCTTGCAGCTGGTACCAGAGGAGCAGGCATGTGGGGGGCAGTGGGGCCTGGTGCCCACTTAGTGTCAGGACTGAACTGGATTACAGGACGCCTGGGGAGTCGGGGTCCAGGAGCTGGAGAACTGGTGTGAGAAAGACACCCCACACGTGTAGTGTCGGAGATGCTGTGCGTAAAGGCAGCTCAGGACCAATCACCGATCAGTCCTTACGCCAACAGCCTCCGCACCTGTGCTTGAGGAAGTCGTGGGTGCTGGTGTTACCTTGACACCGCTGCCGCTGCCTTCGGGGATGTGCAGGTCTAGCCCCTCTTTACAGGTATACAGACAGTCAATCACTTTTTTATCTGTGAGCTTCCCGGAACGGATCGTCAGGCCAGCCAGATTACCTCGGAAAAACTGAGTCATGTGCAGGTCACCACCTGCAGAACACGGGGGTGGAAAAGCAGAAGTTGTGAGTGCAGCCCAGGGCCTCCTGCTTCACTTTTCATTGTGATGTTACCGGTGGTGGCAGCCTGATGGGTGGACATGCGGGTTAGTTCCTACCAGATCCTGTTAGCCTAGCAATCGACATGGAAGCACAATGAGGAAATTAAATGGTTTATGGTCATGCACGTGGCCCGGAGAAGAGAGGAGCTGGGGGTCCCTCCCCAGAAGCCCAGAAGCCAAGAGGTCCCGTGAGTGTCCCCACACATGCGGCCACTTCCTGGTAAGGGTGGCCCTCGCTGCACCCGTCATCATGGTACACAAGTGATGTCCTACCAGCGCCAGCCTCTTCAACCACTGCCTGGATCCGGCGCTGGGTTTCTTTTTTTTTTCTTTTCTTTTTTTTTGGCTGCACCGCGACCAGGGATCAAACCCCGGTCCCTGCACTGAACGCGCCAAGTCCTAACCATTGGACCGCCAGGTAATTCCCCTGGGCTGCTTTTTCTAACTGAGCACACTCGGGGAATACACACAAACTTGGGATGAACGTACACAGGCAGGAGTAGAAAGATAAAAGGAATGCTAAAATCCTACCCTGCACAAAGCCTAGTATCAAGGCCGCCTACACAGGCTATTTTGTTGAGTCCCAGTGTGCCTGTCTCCTCCTACTGAGGATAACTGGGAAGAGTGAAGATGTTACAAGAAAAAGCCAGAAGGTGGCCCTTGACAGACTGTAACGAAGAGCCAAAACCAGGAGGTACTAAACCCTGTTCTTACACTGGAGGAGGAGGAGAGACCAATTGTCAGCAGCATGCCGTACTCCGGATGAGGGACGTTAGATACTAAATCGTCACTAGGGACCAAGATTTCTAAGAAACATTATTTAAAACTTATTATCAGTCAGGACAGAATATCTAGCCACGAGTCTTTTCCTGTCTCCTGGTTCAGACACACGAGAAGCAGGAGGCGGCCTCCCAACCAAACTTAGCCTGTGAGACTTCAGCGGGGCGCCTCACGCAGTGGGATGGGGTAACATTTGATGAGGAAAAGAAAAACTTCCCATTAGTACATTGCATTAATGAGTCATTTGTTCTCACTTCAACTGGGATCAGAATGGGCAGAAAAGGGAAATCCCATGATGCAGTGGGGTAGCATAAGGCAAAGCAGCAGCTCAAATAGTGTCTGGGACCAAAATGCAACTTGGGTGTCTCATGCGAAATGCACAATGAATGGATGTCTCGTCTTTAAATGAAACCCAATAGTGAACCGTAGGCAAGGAAGTCCAGCAACCTGCAGAGGCCACAGGCACAGGCTCAGTTTCATTGTCATTTTCAACTCCTGAATACTCTGTAGAAAAGCAAGACAGACAATAGAAAAGGACCAAGAGGTTAGGCTCTTCAAACTGGACCTTGAAAATTAGTTTTGAAAAGCTACCAAACACAAACACAAAGAGAAAAATTGCCCTCCCATCCCTCCTGGGGACACACTCCACACCTGGATGAAAACTGCACTTGATCACCTTTTCCCAAAGGGATATAGTTACCACTCCCGAGCTTCTTTCCATTCTTTTTTTTTTTTTAAATTTATTTTATTTAAGTACAGTTGATTTACAATATTGTGTTAATTTTACAGCAAAGCGATTCAATTATACATATATATATTCTTTTTCATATTCTTTTCCATTATGGTTTATCACATGATATTGAATATATTGTAGTTCTCTGGGCTACACAGTAGGACCTTATCGTTTATCTCTTTCCATTCTTTTATTCCACCTTCCGGCAGCCTCCTTGCCAAAACACAGGTCAGATTCAAAATGAGATGAGTAACAGCTGTGCACTGAATTCACTGATCTCCTCAACCTGTCCAGGCAGGACACTGGGAGGTGGCAGCTGGCGCTGATGGCAGAGACGTACCTGGTGCAAAAGGCACCCACCCTGGACCACAGCGCCGGTCTTTTTAATGGGGAAGACACGTGTCAGCGTCCAAAGCCTGGTGTGTAGTGAACATGTATGTCTTTTTTGAAAGCTCAAAAGGAGTTCACATCGGTTCACACTTGGATGTCACTCACATCCAAGTGACAGACGAAAGAAGGCATTTTTAACCAGTTTTTCTGAACAGAAAGGGAGAGTCGGAGGTTAAGGAACTCACCCAGAGAAACATAATCGGTGATGGGCCTGGGGACAGCGGCTGTGGTTCCCGCCCAGCGTTCTGGGTCGAGGCACCCGCCCAGCGACGGGGGACAGAAGTTCCACCCTCCAGACGGCGCGGTGGGTGCACTGCTTCCCTCTCCCCGCCCCACCCCACGGCGCAGGCCTCACCACCTTTCCTGCTGCGGCCACATGGGGACGAGGCCAGGTGTGCACAGTTGAGCCCCGGAGCCCACACGGCTCCCACGTCCCCCTAACACACAGTTACAACTGACGTTTCCGTTGATCCCATGAAGCGGGCCTCCAGCCCAGGCTCCCCACAGTGAACTTGAAGGGGAAGGGACTTCAAATCCCCTGAAAGGAAGAGAGGAGATCTTCTTCCCCCATTAACTAAAATTTTTTAAACTTGTGTTTGGTTTGGAAATTTACAGGCAGATTCTTCTGGCTGAGGATGCTGAGAGGGCTGAGGTAGAAAGAGGTGAGAAAGGATGAAAACTGATTGCCATCTGATGGCAGAGACACTGTGACATGAAGAGGAAGGCAGGGTGGGACGGGGGGGGGGGGGGGGGGGGGGGGGGTTTTTCCACCGTAACAAAGTTTCCAGAATACAAAATAACATTTAGGTTCACACTTGTATTCTTTTTTTAAATATGTAAATATCATGCCTTTTTTAAACTTTTTATTTATTTATTATGGCTGCGTTGGGTTTTTGCTGCTGCTCACAGGCTTTCTCTAGTTGCCGCGAGCAGGGGCTACTCTTGGTTGCGGTGCGCAGGCTTCTCACTGAGGTGGCTTCTCTTGCTGCAGAGCACGGGCTCTAGGCGCGCAGACTTCGGTAGTTGCAGCACGCAGGCTCAGGAGTTGTGGCTTGCAGGCTCTAGAGCGCAGGCTCAGTAGTTGTGGCGCACGGGCTTAGCTGCTCCGCGGCATGTGGGATCTTCCCAGACCAGGGCTCGAACCTGTGTCCCCTACACTGGCAGGAGGATTCTTAACCGCTGCGCCACCAGGGAAGTCCCCACACTTGTGTTCTTATTCTTTGTTTTTTTTGGCCGCGCCATGCAGCATGTGGGATCTTACTTAGTTCCCTGACCAGGGATCAGTGGAAGTGCAGCGTCTTAACCACTGGACATCCAGGGCAGTCCCTTGTATTCTTATTCTTATTTTTAAAATCATTACTCAGAAATTATTGTTTAATTTGGGAAGGAAGTTTGAACTAAAATTTTAAGAGTAACAACTATAAGCTTCCTGAAATTTTAAGCGTAACAACTAAAAACTTTCTAATAATTTATTCCTCATTCCTTGGTCTCACGTTCTACTTTCTCACAGATGGATTGTCACCAGTAACAAATCTGGGAATTTGCTGAAGAAGTTCACTGTGAAATACTGTCTTATTCTTTTTCATATGGAAGGATCTGCAGGAAAATTATGAAATTCAAATTCTCCTAAAAGCAGCAAAACTGTCTTGGCATTTAGGCTCTTTCACAAATTTCTAACCTAACTCAAGGTATAATGTTTCCAAAGGGAAGGAAAAAGAAGGCCTATTTAGCAGGTACATGTAGTGATGATGACACCCTGAAGTGACACAACACACAGTCATGGGCAAAGTTGGAGGGGGGGGCCCATGAACCTTGAGAGCAGACCAGGGGTCTGGGAAAAATCACATGCTTAATTTTTACTAACTTCTAAAATTTAGTTTTCCCTTTGGTTATAAATGTCAGCTACAAATCACAGGGATATTAGAAGAAACTATGACTGTGCCGCCAGGTATCACGTCCTGCCAGCTGCTCTGCTGTAGGTACACAGCATGGTTACCAAGCCCCTCCTGCTCTGCCTCCCGGAAGTTAATGGAGGCGCCTGATCTTCATGAGTTAGTAAAGCAGCACAGGTGTTACTACTTTACAAATTTATCCTTTTAGTACTTTGACAACTGTATTTCAGTTTAATTGGTCGCCTTTGAAATCCTATGTATTTTATTTTGTTTCATAGACTAGTAAGAAATTATCCTGAGAAAGGTCCATAGGCTTCACAGACCACCAGAGGACTCCGTGGCACAGAAAAGGGTAGCACCCCTGGTTTGGTGGGTCAGAACACTGGGCCTGAGTGCACTGGCTCCAGTGGTTCAAATCCTAGCACCATGTAACCAGCTGGTAACACAGCTCACTACTTCTCTGAGCCCCGGTTTTTCAGCTATGAAATAGGGATAAAAAGAGCTGCTGCCCCGCAAACATATTATTAGGATTAATGAGATAATGTATGTGAAGCCATTGGCACACAGCCTGCCACTCAGAAAACAAGAATAAAAGGTATCGTCTCGCTGGTGGCTGTCATCACATCCCGTCCTGGTCTTCCAGCAGAGACGGCCACGGACTCTCCCCCAATCCTCACTGAAGGTGCTCCCGCCAGGTTATCAAGTGCTAATCACTCTGACCTCCTGGCCGGAGCAACTCACGTGTCTGTGCCTGACGGTTGCCTCTCTGTTTTTGTAAACTTTCCAACGAACAGGTTAATTTATAAATAATTTATAAACAAGGTCCTCAATGACACTCTCCCTCTGCATATCTCCTCCTGGACCCCCGGGAAAGGAGTTCCCATCCTTTAACGCCTTCATCAAGCATCGTAAATAGAGCCCTCCTGGAGCCTGGCAGCAGCCGTGCCCCCCAGAAAGGCTACACCAGGCAAAGGAATGAAAAGAGAAAGGAGAGGACAGTAAGGGATGTGAGACTCTGAGAGGAGCCTGTTTCCACCAACAGAGCAGAGAAGAAGTACTGAATTCTCGAAGCCTGGAGGGGACAGGGTGCCGACGACCGTTACCTTGCCAGCAAGCTCCAACCATGAGCTGGGTTTCGATCTTGGACGCGTGAAGCGGGTAGTCTTCAGTCACAGAGAAGGGCTTATGAGAGACGCCGTCCACATAAAGAGTCACGTTTGGGATTTCCACGTTGAGGACATAGTGATGCCATTCCTCGTCACAGACCTACAAGGCCAAGGGGGTGGGTGGTTAAGTGTGAAACGTCCACCTTCCCTCTCACCCAAAGACGCAGCCATGAGAGCGACATAACTGGACACGAGAACAAGTCACCCAGAATGAACCTCTGTCTTCCTAAAAAGGAAAAGACTTAAAATGACAACAACAAAATACGTCTCATCCCACCGCATCTCACCCCAAAAGGTCAAGGTGACATTACCATCTCTAGGACGCTTCAGACTTGGGGGCGCTACTCATTCATCATGTGACAGGACCCCAGACAGGGAGCTGCCCGATTCCCTTCTGCCAAGAGCATGACACCAGGAAATTCTAGTATCAGCAGGATGGACACCACCCAGGGGGCTGGTCGTTCCTTTTCTGGATCAAAATGAAAAACGTGGCACTTCCACATTAACCACTGTGGCGCAGTGGTTAAGAATCCGCCTGCCAATGCAGGGGCCACGGGTTCGAGCCCTGGTCCGGAAAGATCCCACATGCCACGGAGCAACTAAGCCCATGCACCACAGCTACTGAGCCTGAGCTCTAGAGCCCGCGAGCCACAACTACTGAGCCCACGTGCTGCAACTACTGAAGCCCGCGCACCTAGAGCCCGTGCTCTGCAACAAGAGAAGCCACCGCAATGAGAAGCCCACGCACCACAACGAAGAGTAGCCCCTGCTCGCCGCAACTAGAGAAAGCCCGTGTGCAGCAACGAAGACCCAACACAGCCAAAAATAAATAAATAAATATTTTTTTTTAAATGAAAAATGCCTCCAGTTTCTGACCGAGGCCCGCTACAGCACATGTGCTTTCTTTTTCGGTTCAAAGGTGATGGTCTAAATAAATACGAACATACAGCTCAGATGGCCAAATTCAACTGAGCTCCTCTCCTATCATGAAGGAGCAGCTCCCCAATATCTCCCCTGTTGTCACGTGGGGTGCTGGTCTGCAGTCTCCAAGGCCTGGCTGGTCTGGCATTCCCTGATTTCTGGCTTTAGAGGAAGAGACAGACATGCAAGAACAGGGACAGGCAGAGAAGGAGACGCTATGGGATGAAATTTCTAAAACTGTATTTTTAAAAAGCCTGCCCAGGGACTTCCCTGTATGGTCCAGTGGTTAAGAAATCTGCCTTCCAATGCAGGGGACGTGAGTTTGATCCCTGATTGGGGAACTAAGATCCCACACGCAGCAGGGCAACTAAGCCCGCACGCCACAACTACTGAGCCCACACACCGCAACTAGAGAGAAGCCCCTGCATCACAACTAGAGAGAAGCCCACGTGCCGCAACTAAGACCCGACGCAGCCAAAACTAAATATTTAGAAATAATAAATAAATAAAAAGCTTGCCCAATTTACCTTTAAATTCTAAGAAACTGAACCAAGGAGAAATCAAGAGCTGAAACAGACCAGAAACATCAAAATAAATGAAGAAATGACCAAAGATTATCCCCAAAGAAAAGCAGCTGCTCTTGGTAAGTCTGAGGAAAAAATTCAGATCTCTAATATCGTATATATGTTTCTTATATACGCATAATGTATGTGTGTATAAATGTATAATCACATATTTCTAAATAAAGAAATTGCACAGGGCTTCCCTGGTGGCGCAGTGGTTGAGTCCACCTGCCGATGCAGGGGACACGGGTTCGTGTCCCGGTCCGGGAGGATCCCACATGCCGCGAAGCGGCTGAGCCTGTGGGCCATGGCCACTGGGCCTGCGCGTCCGGAGCCTGTGCTCCGCAGCGGGAGAGGCCACAGCAATGAGAGGCCCGCGTACCGAAAAAACAAAAACAACAACAACAAAAAGACATTGCACAGCAATTCACTTTTGAGACAGATAAGATCTTAATTTTAGTTTCTTTATTTAAAACAAGTTCTATAATATATGCTGCTTCAGAAAGTAGTTTATAGTACACCCCCAGTTTTTAAAATAGTATGGGTTTCTTGGGAAATACCATGAGCATATTCTGAGAAGAGAGTAGGAGAATTAGTATAATTTTTTAATTTCCTTGAAAACACGGTGATTAGGGTAGTAAAAGCCCAAACCCCAGACGACACCCACGACAATACTGGTGACAAAGTGACTACATGAATGCTGAAACAAGTCGGGTGGAGGAAAGCAACAGGGCTTCTGATCCAGGTGATACCAGAGGGTGTGAAGCCACATTAAAAAAAAAATACTTTATGAAAACAACAGAAGGGAGAGATCAAACCCTAAAGCTAGGAAAAAAAAAAAAAAAGTCATGCTTTTCAAAGTGTAGGAAAGCTAATTTCATGTAAAATTGAGGGGGGAAAACATGATCACGACTCAATCCCAAAAAGTTTTTAAAAGAAAAAAAAAAGACAACCAAAGGGAATAACCTCCCTTCAGATAATGAAACCATACCTGAAAGACATACCTAACAAAAGAGATGAAAATGATAATCTGTTATTTCAAAACACGCTAAAAGACATGAGGAAAATGACAAAACAGAAGAACATAGTTTGTAATTAGAGCAACTCAGAAATGAGGTGACAAAGCACAGGAATGATTTAAAAAAAAGGGCAAGATACAGAAAACAGGTAAAGAATATCAACAAAAGATAAGAGGAGTCCCCAGAGAGGAAAACCAAAGCAATAGAAGAGAATACTAAAAACTATAACAAAAACTTTCCTGAAATACCAAAACGTTTGAAACTAGATACTAAAAGGCATACCACATATTTGGGAAAACAGACCTAAGACAACCAAGACATATTCGTAAAATTAAATGACCTTAAAGAAAAGAAGAAGAAGGAAAAAAAAAAACACACATCCCATGGTCATCCAAACAAAAAGACTGAGTGTTTTCCTTTTCTTTTATTTTTTTGCGGTATGCGGGCCTCTCACTGCTGTGGCCTCTCCCGTTGCGGAGCACAGGCTCCGGATGCGCAGGCTCAGCGGCCATGGCTCACGGGCCCAGCCGCTCCGCGGCATGTGGGATCCTCCCGGACCGGGGCACGAACCCGTGTCCCCTGCATCGCCAGGCGGACTCTCAACCACTGCGCCACCAGGGAAGCCCAAGACTGAGTGTTTTATAAAGGAAAGAAAATCAAGCTGTTGTCAGATTTTAACAGCAACATTTTACATCAGAACTCAATGGAGAGACAGATTTTCTGTTCTTGGAAATCTTACCTCGGAGCCAGAGATGTTATATCCAGCCAAAGTGACCTTCAGTATAAAGGCCACAGACAAACTATTAAAACAACACGTAAGAACTCAGGAATTAACTGTTTCCATGAGCCCTTCCTGAGAACACACTTCCTATGACCCAAGTGACCAGAGATCAAGTGCCACAAGGGTGGTGACACTGACCACTGACGGCTGCTTAAATCACAAAAGAGAAACAACCCGACGGAGCTTAAACAGATCAGAAACACGCAAACCCCATTCTGATCAAGTCTTTACAGCCCAGTCCCAATTTACAGGGTATAAGGAAGAGAGAGGAGTGTGGTAAATGACAGCACAGAGAGAGGAGCATGTTCTGTCACCAAAGAAACTCCAAGAGAGAAGAGGAAAATCTACAGATTAAAATAAACTCAAAAGGTCTATCAGCCAATCCCAGTGTATGGCCCCTTATTTGGATCCTGATTCAAACAGACAAATTTGTAAACACGAAAACATCTATGAGACAATTTGAACAAAAAACTCTTAATAGTGGAGGTAACAATGAAACAAGGTTGACCAAGAGCTGATAATTATTGAAGCCAGGGTGTGTGGAGTTGTTCCTTACACTAATCTGTCCACCTTTACCTATGTGTGAAATTTTCCATGATAAAGTTTCTAAAACATGTCATCAGAAGAAACTGAATATCTAAGTGTAGACTGTGGTTACTAAAACAGAACTATACCTAAAATGTCTACCTACATTGCAACATTTTTTTCTGTATGATACCTTTCTTAGTTTCTTGAAAAAACTGATGACAAAAGTTTCCGAGAAAGAAATGATCTATGTAAATAAAAATTACACCAGTAAGAGATGAACACTGCCAACTTGACAGTCACTTCATCTTTCCACCATCACATACTTTTTTCCTTTCTCATATGTGCTCTCATGTATCTATCTTGTAACTGTGTCAGACAATGTTATATTTTACCAACTACAGGCACATATAACACTGTCAGCTCTTATCCACAAACTCCACGAGGCAAATAAATTAAGCTCAGGTTTCCTTCTTGCCCCAACTCTAACTCACAAGAGGAAATGACCTGCTGTGATTTTAATGAAAAGGCTTTCTCAGTTTACAGCATCTCCTCATTTCCTGTAACACATTGATTCTTTGCACATGACGCTTGATTTTTATCACAGCAACTGTTAGGAAATCAGCTTTGCAAAGACATGACATCATCACAAGAAGTATAATGTGCTCTAATGTTGAAACTATAAATTCCCACGAGCTAATAGTTCATGTGGTGCCTGAAAGATGTCAAGATTGCTGGTTCCTTGAATATTTAAAACATCCCATCGCACCCCCGAATCTGCTGAGGCACCCAGGGTCCTTGGCACAACTTGGGAGGCAAGGCCTTAAATAATAAACAAATACAAGGACCCCAATCCCAATTTTGAAGCAAGTGCTGCTTATCTCAATAAATTATAACACGATATTTGGGATTTGAAACATATCATTTCTTTATACAGGCACACCTTGGAGATATCACAGGTTTGGTTCCAGACCACACCACAATAAAGCGAGTCTTACGAATTTATTTTCGTTTCCCAGTGCATATAAACTTATGTTTACACTACACTGTGGTCTATTAAGTGTGCAACTGCATTATGTCTAAAAATAACAGTGTACATACCTTCATTAAAAAATACTGCTAAAAAATGCTAACATTATCTGACAAGGCAGGGTTGCCACAAGCCTTCAATTTATAAAAACTGCAATTATCTGTGGAGCGCAATAAAATGAGGTACGCCTGTATTAATATTTTATGTATAAAACACGTACAGGTAAAAAAACAAACTTAGGCTTTCAGTAAAAAGGAGTTCAGTGGATTTAATTTGCTGTCCTATTAGCCACAGACACAGAAATCATAAAATCGTACATAAACCCTGCCCATAAACAGCCGGTCCTGTTCACGGTCGCAGTGCCCGTTTAACCTCTCTGAAGAACACCCAGAGCAGTGAGTTTTCCATGCACTCACCTGATTCAACTTCCAGTGGAATTCTGCAGGTTTGTATTTCTTCTCTTCTGAAGGATCCTGACGGAGGAGGAAAATAAGCCAGCAGCCGTGGACATAGAGTGAATAATGGTGTCGGTTCATATCTGCGAAGAGTAATTCTACTAGTAAACTGCCGACTTAAGACCCAAAGGAGAACTAAAAGCTGTTTCTTGAATGGATCTTGAAGACACAGTTTTATCAGCACGGGTGAACTCTCCACGGTGGGCCAAGGCAGGGTTTAGGAAAAACTACGCTTGGGCTTTACTGAGAAGAGGGGCCCAATCCACTGAGTAAAGCTAGCAAACGCCCAGAGACCAGTGCAGTGTCTTGAGCACAGAGCAACGTGTGTCACCAAGAGCGTGTGGGAGCCTTTAGGGTTAGAATAAGGTGCCCACCTCCAGGCACCACTACAGCGGACGCCCCTTACAGCGAAGCTCACCCACCTGTTTTGTCTGAGCTGCAAAGGACCGTCTCCTTCTTCCTGCCAAACGGCCCGTGCCTCATCCACACAGAGATCGTAAAAGGCTCCTTGGGGTTGACGGAAACGACGCCATCTGGGACCCTCACCCCTTGAGTGCCATTGAACTCGAAGACCTGGTCGCTGTCGTGGCCATTGTCAGTGGGGAGGCCGATGGTCCAGTTCAAGGAGCCGCCCGGGGAAGGGAGCAGCTCAGCTGTGCCAGACGCAGCGCCTAAGCAACATGGAGACACTCACTATGCATCATGCGACGAACTCAAAAGGGACAAGCATTTCAAAGCCACACTAAGGTACTGTTTTTGTTTTTTTGTTTTTCTTAAATTGAACTAGAGTTGATTTACAATGTTGTGTTAGTTTCAGGTGTAGAGCAAAGTGATTCAGTTATACATACATATATAAATATATATATTGTTTTTTTTACATTCTCTTCTGTTATAGGTTAGTACAAGATATTGAGTATAGCTCTCTGTGCTATACCGTAGGTCCTTGTTTACCTATTTTATATATGGTAGTGTGTATATATTTATCCCAAAGTCCTAATTTATCCCTCCTCTCCCCACCTTTGGTAACCATAGTTTGTTTCCTATGTCTGTGAGTCTATTTCTGTTTTATAAATAAGTTCATTTGTATAATTTTTTTTAGATTCCACATATAAGTGATAGCATATGATATCTGTCTTTGTCTGACTTACTTCACTTAATATGATAATCTCTAGGTCCACCCATGTTGCTGCAAATGGCAATATTTCATTCTTTCTTATGGCTGAGTAATATTCCACTGTGTGTGTGTGCGTGCACGCGTGTGTGTATACATACACACACACACACATATATATATATATATATATATACACACATATCTTCTTTACCCATTCATCTGTCAATGGACAGTCAGGTGAGTTCCATGTCTTGGTTATTATAAACAGTGCTGCTATGAACACTGGGGTGCATGTATTAAGGTACCACTTTTATCTTAATGGTTATACAGTTTGCTAGTTCCAGTTTACTTTTCCTCAAAAATAAGGGTTTTTATTATTAAAAAGATTCATAAATAATAACCATGGATTTTTTTTTAAAGGAAGAAAAAAAGAGGAGTATAACCTTTAAAAACTGTGAATCACTATGTTGTACAGCAACTATACTTCAATAAAAAAATAAAGAAAAGAGAAAAAAAAAGAAGCATTACTTGTGATCCCACCCCAATATACCCACTATTAACATTTGGGTATAAACACTTCCAGTCCTTTCTTTATGAATGTACACATATTATTAAAATATGTATAATACGTATGAATATATGTCATAAAATATGTATAATATGAATATATTATAAAAGTGGAGTCCTGCTATGTAACACCTACATATATTCCCAGTAATATTCTTTACAGCATAATTTAAAATGTCTGAATAGCATTTCACTGTATAGAATTTGTGCTGTGATATATTTAACTGATCTGTCCTGTGCACACGGAGTTGTCCCTATTTTTTCTCTGTGACAAACCTTGCCTTGACGAGGACTTTTGTGTGTCTCCATGATTATTCCCTTAGGATAAACTCCTAGAAATGGGATACTAAGCCAAAGAACATGAAACATTTTCACAACTTCTGTTACACGTTGCCAGGCTCGATTTTCTTTTAAATTCATCCACAGAAGATTTTGCAACCTTTCACAGCCACCGGGCCCTTGACTTCTCTATTCCTAGGGGCAGCATGACTTGGCTGGGACAGCCTGGTCTTTTGACTATCATACGATCTTGGTCCAAATCCCAGCTCGGCCACTTCCTAAAAGTGTGACCTTGGGCAAGCGACTCAGCCTCCCTCGGTCTCAACTAATTCTTCTGTAAAGACGAGGCCAATGCTACCACCTTTGTAGGCCTGATGGGAAGATTAAATGAAATAACACATGTGGAAGGACCTAGCGTACAGTAAGCACTCAAATAGAAAATTCTTTCTACCTTTAAACTGTTCTGCTGAGAGAATGTTCATTTAATACCATAAAAAATAATGGCATTACGAGAAAGTACTTTTACACTATACTTACATAGTATAAAATAGAAAATATTCCAGACCTCTTTACTTACATACATTTAGGTACATGATTATGAATATTTGGATTCAGAATCAGGATGAGCCGCAGAGAATATACTTTTTCCCTTTTGCTTATTCTTCATATGACAATTTCCAATTATGAAAGAAAACCGGTTGCCTGAATCTAACTGTCATTATCACTTAGTGAAAAGACAGACGAGTACTGGAAAATGCTCCCTACGAAAGGCCCTTCCGAGCATCAAGAGGCCACTGAAGTTACTGGTGTTTTACCACCGGCCAAGCGGAACATTCCTCCTCAGCATCTTCCCCAAGAGGCATCCATACCTCACCTTTACCTCCTTCAGACAGACCAGGAAAATATCCAAACTGACGGTGAAGATGGAGAACTAGCCTTGGGTCAGATCTGCGATCATTCTGTCTCTCAGCTGCTCCACACCTTGTTTGTGGGACATAAAGACTATAAATTCGATGCAGGTTTCCTTAGTTTCCATTTTCTACTTCACGTTTGCCAAAAGCTATTGCATCACCTATAGCTTTTTTTTTCCTTCAGTCCTTACATAAACGTCTCATTTCATTTAAATCTCACTCCATCCGCCTGCCGATGAAGGGGACACAGATTCGTGCCCCGGTCCAGGAGGATCCCACATGCCGGGGAGCGGCTGGGCCCGTGAGCCATGGCCGCTGAGCCTGCGCGTCCGGAGCCTGTGCTCCACAATGGGAGAGGCCACAACAGTGAGAGGCCCGCGTACCGCAAAAAAAAAAAAAAAAAAAAAAGTTTGGGATTTAAAAGTGAGCAAAAAAAAAGCTCACTCCACTTATAGAATGCCTATTTTGATGATTCTCAATGCATGTTAGAGAAATACTTGCTTCAAATCAGTGGTTCTTAAAATGCACAGACACAGACACACACACACACACACACACACACACACACTCTTCTGAACAGACTTTTAGGGGTTCAGGGTCCCTCTCTCGCCTCCTTACCACAGAGCCGGTGGAGAGACTTCTCAGAGTAGGTGTCGCGGTCACAGCCCTTCCCTATGTGGCTGGTCTCCAGCTCCACCGTCACCTGCACTGAGGCCACCGATTCACCACATGTCTCCAGGTGGACGTTTGGGAAAAGCGCCAAAGCACCAGTGCCAGGCTCGTACTCGACCCTCTTGTTCCATCCTGTGTGGGCCCACACACGGACGGCGGGGGGGGAAGAAAACTCCTGTTAGGTCTCCGTGGTGAACAGATTTTCAGAGCAGGTGTGACAGCAGCAGAGAGACAGTGAGGCTCACCTTGCCACCCAGGGGTGCAGGTGGGCTTGATGCTGATCTTCACCAAAGCATCCTCTGTTGCCCTCTTCTTCCCGCAGTCGTAGGCCGTGACTGTCAGCTTGTACTGTTGCTCTTTCCTGGAGTTCAGCTTCTCTGTGTTTTTTATATAACCTTCCAAGAGGAAAAACAACAGTGAGAACCCAAACCCATTCTGTTTCTCTTTTCTGACTTTTTTTTTTTATTTTCCCCGATTATTTTTAAACCCACTGTTTTTGACTTCTGTCGTCCTATGCCGAAACACAAAATGCACGTGTTTCAGCCCTGGAAACACTGACACAGAAATAAACTGATGCTTGAGGTAATTAACATTCATGCTTTCGTGAGCTTGAACGCACACTAAATCCACCTTGAAGGATTATTTAAGCAGAGGAATGAGCCTATAGAATTCAGCCTCCATTTATTCTTATAGTTGTATTTGGTTTTATATTTAAGATTTAATAGTTAACGTGTAAGAGAATAAAAGAGACAAAATAATTCAAGTATTTCAAATATTAAATACAAGATGGAGGGCCTCCCTGGTGGCGCAGTGGTTAAGAATCCGCCTGCTGATGCAGGGGACACAGGTTCGAGCCCTGGTCCAGGAAGATCCCACGTGCCGCGGAGCAACTAAGCCCGTGCGCCACAACTACTAAGCCTGCGCTCTAAAGCTCACGTGCCACAACTACCGAAGCCTGTGCACCTAGAGCCCGTGCTCTGCAACAAGAGAAGCCACCGCAATGAGAAGCCCGCGCACCACAATGAAGAGTAGCCCCTGCTCGCCGCAACTAGAGAAAGCTGGCACGCAGCAACGAAGACCCAACACAGCCAGAAACAAAAACAAATAAATAAATAAATTTATAAAAATACAAAATGGAGCTGCATTAAATACTTCTTGCTAAAAGATTTACTTTGTTAGAGAGAGATTTCCTACCCTCAGCCAGTAGAACAGAAGCCTGCTTTTTGAACGTGAGTGCAAATGTCTGCAAAGTGTTTGCAATGTCCATCATTTCATCGAAGATTCTGGACTATGCATTAACAATGGAGACACCATAGCATCATCAAGAAGCCATAACCTAATAAAGAAGCTGCGCTCCAGAATAAGTTAATTCTAGTCAGTTACTAAGGATGGCGGGGTGTCTGGCAGCGAGGTATCAACCTTCATCTTCAAGACGAGGCAGAAAAGCCAAATCTGATGGAGAACAGAAAACGAAACTTACTAAGAGGCAGTCTCATTCGGATGCACGCTGACTGAAAGGTAGGGAGATAAAAAAATAAAAACACCTTAGGCGGGGGATTTTTATTAGATTTTGGTGGGAAAGGAAATAGAGGATCACCCTATAAGAGAACACAAGATTTGGTGCCAGAAAAGAGGCTTTCAGGGGACAGAGTAAAAACTTAAACATGACCTAAATAGACACTTCTCCAAAGACATAGATGGCCAAAAGGTACATGCATGAAAAGATGCTCAACATTGCTATTTATTAGAGAAATGCAAATCAAAACTACAATGAGGTATCACCCCACACCAGTCAGAATGGCCATCATCAGAAAGTCTACAAATAATAAATGCTGGAGAGGGTGTGGAGAAAAGGGAACCCTCCTACACTGTTGCTGGGAATGTAAATTGGTGCAGCCACTGTGGAGAACAGTATGGAGGGTCCTTAAAAAACTAAAAATAGAGCTACCATATGATCCAGCAATCCCACTCCTGGGCATATATCTGGAGAAAACCACAATTCAAAAAGATACAGTGCACCCCAATGTTCATTGCAACACTGTTTACAATAGCCAGGACATGGAAGCAACCTAAATGTCCATCGGCAGATGAATGGATAAATATGTGGTATATGTATACAAAGGAATATTACTCAGCCATAAAAAAGAATGAAATAATGCCATTTGCAGCAACATGGATGGACCTACCAGTTATCATACTAAGTGAAGTAAGCCAGACAGAGAAAGACAAACATCATGATATGCCTTAAATGTGGAATGTTTAAAAAAAATTATACAAATGAACTTACATACAAAACAGAAATAGACCCATAGACATAGAAAACAAACTTATGGTTACCAAAGGGGAAGGGGGGGAAATAAATTAGGAGATTGGGATAAACATATACACACTACTATATATAAAATAGGGCTTCCCTCGTGGCCCAGTGATTAAGAATCAGCCTGCCAGTGCAGGGGGCAAGGGTTTAAGCCCTGGTCCGGGAAGATCCCACGTGCCACGAAGCAACTAAGCCCATGTGCCACAACTACTGAGCCTGCGCTCTAGAGCCCACGAGCCACAACTACTGAGCCCACGTGCCACAACTACTGAAGCCTGCGTGCCTAGAGCCCGTGCTCCACAACAAGAGAAGCCACCGCAATGAGAAGCCTGCGCACCGCAATGAAGAGTAGCCCCTGCTCACCACAACTAGAGAAAGCCCACACACAGCAACAAAGTCCCAGAGCAGCCAAAAATAAATTAATTAATAAAAAAAAAAAAGTTAAAAAAAAAAAGATAAGCAACAAGGACCTACTGTATAGCACAGGGAACTATAGTCAATATTTTGTAATAACACATAAGGGAAAAGAATCTGAAAAAAAATATATATATATAAAACTGAATCACTTTGCAGTATGCCTGAAACTAACACAACACTGTAAATCAACTACACTTTAACTAAAAAACAAAACAACTTAAATGTGAGACAGACACACCAAGTTAGGTCTTGCTATGGACTGAATGTGTGTGTCCCCCCAAATTCTTATGTTGAACTGTTGACTCTCAGTGTGATGGCAGTAGGAGGTGGGGCCTCTGGGAGGTGATGAGGTTTAGACGAGGTCATGAGGGTGGAGCCCTCATGACGGGACTAGTGTCCTTACAAGAGAAAGAGACTAGAGCTTTCTCCCTGCCACGAGAGGACACAGCAAGAAGCAGGTCCTCACTGACGTTCGGCACCTTGATCTTGGACTTCTCAGCCTCCAGAACTGTGAAAGGTAAGTGTCTGCTGTTTCGGCCCCCCAGGTCTATGGTATTTTGTTAGAGCAGCCTGAACGGACTAACTGTGAGTTTCACCGAAGTGCAGACAAAGTTTGGGTTAGAAGCCGATTGGCACAGAGGGGCTGCCTACCCCATCTCCCCCGCAGTGAGGAAAGAACGCTCCTGGGTGCTCACCATCTTTGTCGACAGCAAATGGCACATCCGGGGTGACAATCTCATAGCTGCAAATCTGGCTGAACTGGGGGGAGCAGTCTGCGTCCACTGCCTCCACCCTCAGGATGCTGTCGTACTGCTTCCCCTCTACCACCGTGGCTTTGTAGGACTTCTCCTTGAATACAGGGGCATACTCGTTCACGTCGTTCACCTGAATATGGACAGTGGCTCTGGAAGAAGGGGGAAGGAGAAAGGCTGTGTGTTTTGCTTGTTTTTTTACCCCAAGAATAAAATTCCGCCCTATTCTTAAATTTCCTTTAACTTTTAAAGTTAAAATAGGAATCTGGTTGATTCTTCCAAGTCCTAGCGAGTAAGAGAGCTGGTACAAAGGCAGTAATATGAAATAAGAGACTTGGGATTTTCTTGACAATGTGTGGCAGGGCTGGCAGAAGGGAGATAAACTATATTAGACATCTGTTTGCTCTCCAATCAAAAAGTTAAAAATGTTTTGTTGCAAAATCTGGAAAAAAATTAGGAAGAAGGGTTAAGAAGTACAGATAGAAGATGGGAAATTATGAGCATTAAAACAAGTTCTGCCCTGCTTCTAAGGAATAGAGACCATCAGGAACCCACTGCTGGGACAGCATCCACTGCTGACCCAACAAATGAAGGACCTCTACTTGCCCTTCCTGGTTCCATGTCCCATCTCCCCAGCCCGGGCACAAGAAAACTAGGGCATCATCAGACCAGGCTACAAACAGAAAACGGTCAGTCTCACGTGCTACTGACCAGGGTATGTTTCTGAATCAGACAAGGTCCCTGACTGAAATGAGGTCTTTTTCAGGGAAAATGATAATATCACATTTTGTAAAAAGGAAGAGGCAGGATTCACTGGCATGCAGCACTCCCACTGTTCACCAAGACCCTCCACACCCCAGTGCTACCCGTCCATCCTGACCCTCACAATGGGTTACACGACCTCACCTCACCTATGTGTCCTCCTTCCTTAGCCAATACACTAAGGAGAAACGGAGACACGACAAAATTAAATTTGCCTAATGTCGAAGGGCTAGTAAGTGGCGGAGAAAAGACTAGAAAAAGGCTAAATCCAAGTCTTGTTCAATCTTCTCCGTTACACCAGTAGTTCTCAACTGGCAAGAACGATGTGAACACACCCAGGATGGGGTGCAGAAGCCAGCTCTCTTCCACCAGCTCAAAAGCGTTTCATGCCCTTTAAATTTACGGAAAAAAAAAAAAGATAAACGTAACAACAAAATACCTTCCTCTGGGTAAAAGTAGGCTTTTTGAATTTTCAATGTAAGGCCCTAGTTTCTTTACTAGAGTATCTGGTGGGATACAATTACTCGTTTATTCAACACCTACTATGTGCCAGGCACTTGCTGGGAGCCATACACAAGGGTAAACAGGATACCTGCCCTCAAAGAGCTTACAATCTCACTGGGGACAACTGGGAACTGCCTCATGTTTCAAAAACAAGAAGTCTTGGGGCAGCGGCAACTGTCACCACTTTCCTTACACACACACGCTCTCTGTCCAGCTCGCTTACTTATGAGACTTTTTCACGTTGGCCCCGTCAGGCCCCTTCCCGCAGTCGTAGGCCTGGATGGTGAATGTGTAGTCCTTCTGGAGTTCACAGTCCAGTTTCTCTTTTGAGCGAATGATTCCCTCGCCAGTGGATTTATCCACCACTACTGCATCAAAGGGGACATTCTGCCCATGAATTTTAAATCCACAAATCTCACCTAGGGAGTCAAAACAGCACGGGTTAGAGTTTCCGCCACACAAACAAAGGGCACACTCCCCTCCTCCCCCAAAGAAAATAAACAACAACAATTTGGCAGCCAGGGGTTTAGGGGGTCTGTGAACAAAACAAGGGCACTTGTGCTTGGACAGGGGGTAAGTTCTGGGGCTTTAGTAAAAAGAAGCATGTTCTGGCTTTCCAAGCAACTTGTTTAAACTTTGCATCCATTCATGCAGGAATACAAAAGAGAAAGAGAAAAAATATAGACAGGCATTTCACAGGAGTACTTAAGAGAGCTCCAGGGCAAAGTAGTTTCATGAGCAAACAGCCAAGGCCTGATAACACGGAGAAGCCGCCCAGCTTCCTGGGAGGGCTGCGCAGCTATTTTGATTTGGACCAGAGAGGAGGCTAGAAGGCACAGTTAAGTGTTGAGAGAGGAAGAAGCAGTGAGGCATAGGTTCAGCACCATTATTACAGAAAGTCTGTCAAAAAAAAATATATATATATCGAAGAAACAAGTCTTCCTGTGCAATGAGCCTGGCTAAAATTAGGGAATCAAAACAAACTACTGAATGAGAAAACGGTAGAAATACCAACTTTTCAGGCATCCATTTCAACAGCTATCAGCTACAATTAAGATACAGTTTCCATTCTCGGGAGGGATTTGCTAGAGTTGCCTTGTTTCGGACTTTATCCTATCAGACCTGAAAAAGAAGCCTGCCTGGGAACGTAAGCACATCCAAGTTGGTCTACAAGCTTATTTAGGAGTTAAAACCTAGGTTTCCATTCTGGCCCATGGGAGAATACATATAAATACTTTGATGTATGTATAAAACTTCACAGAGTATATTTCACATAAAAACAAAACTGAACTCTTCCAAAATGACAACTAGTAGAAAATGGTCACAAAGTGAATCTCTTAAATCCAATTATAAAAAAAGGAACAGGATTATCCATGTAGTTCAAATGGATGTCTGATTTCCAGATATTTCTAACCAAGGGTCTGGTTACATACAATTTCCATCAATATACTTAAAAATAGAAATAAAGTAGGAGAATAAATAGGGGTGAGAGAACATGACAGTTTCTTCTGTTTAAGGGCTGATTCCCAATTTTATAAACAAAGTTAGTGGGTTAATGTTCATAAGAGGCATAGAAAGAACCCTTTATCACCTTCTTTGGTGACTGTCACCTCAAAACTCTCTAAAGGGAGAAAAGATAAACCCATGTCAGTAATACAGGAAAGAAGGAAGCCGAAACAATAAGGAAAAAAAAAAAGTCAAAGATGCACATATTACACAGAAAAGCTTGACATAATTTAACAACAAATTCGGTAGCCAGCTTTAGCAGAACTGCATCTTCAGTAACAAAACATCTCTATGAATCCAACTTACCACAGATTACTCTAGCCTAGTGATGAAATGCCGCTATAAAGTCTCCTCACACCCTCAGGTGTCATGAGGATTTTTCTCTCCATGACCGCTTTGATGATAACAGTTTCTAAGTAAGTCTAGTTGTTATTTTACAGTTTTCGGATTTTCATTTTCAAGCTAAGTTCTCAGTGGCTAGATTCTGGTAACTTTCAACGGGTCCTTAGATTTAACAGAACAGTTGGAGGAAAGGGTTTGACTTTAACCCTTTGTTCTTGAGCTGAATAACAATGTGTTCTCACCTAAAGTACCCAACCAAGGCAACAAACACAAAGCCCTCTTCTAATGGAACACATACTTAAATGCAAACTGAAACCAGATTCGGCACTAACTGTAGCGATGCTACAACGATCATGGCTTTTATTTTGTGAAAACAGCTCTTCTCCCAAGTCAATATAAATCCTGCTCACCTCATCCTGCGACCCCTACAGAGCAGAAACGAGACGATCAGGAGTCCCTCTCCCCGGACGTAGCGTGGCCTCGCCGGGGAAACCGTCCCTCCCACCAGAGGTTACACAGCCTCAATTCCCTGTTTTTTGGTTTTTTTTTTAATGGTTTTACCACATATTTGCATATCCCTCAACAGTGTTGTTTCATTTTGTTTATTTTTGAGTTTCAAAAAATGGCCATCATATGGTGCGCGATTTTTGTGACTTGCTTTTTCACTCGACCTTTTCCAACCGTGCGTGTCTGCGATGCCTTCGTCCTCGTTGGCGTATGCAGTCACACAGTTCACGCACTCTCACCAGCACGCACAGGGAGAACCCAGTGAGTTAAAACGTAAGCGCTTAAAACATTGCCCGGCACAAAGAAAGCGCTCCGCGAACGTTTGCTGTCACTGTAATGATTTCCCATTGTGTGAACACACCGTAACTCCAGTGTTTTGCTGTGTATGAACAAGGCTACGGTGGGTCCTTCTGTCCTGCTTCCTGGGCACATACACAGGCTCTCTCCAGATCTGTGCTGCCTGGTACTGGAGCCATTAGCCACGAGGGGCTGCTAAAAATTGAACTAAAATTCATATTTTAGTGCATGATATTAAAAACTCAGTTCCTCGGTCGCAGTGGCTGCATTTCAAGGGCTCAACGGGCACACGTGACTAGTAACTACTGAATGGAGACGTGGACAGGGAATCCCACCACCATCCCACCACAAGCTCTACGGGACAGCACTGCTCAGAGTGGTGGGGGCAAACCCGCAGGTCAAGTCCAGCCAGGGCCTGCGAGCTGAAAATGGCTCCTGTGTATCACTTCAGGACACGAGAAAAGTACATGAAATTCAAACTTCAGTGTCCATAAGTAATGTTTTATCACGACACAGACCTACTAATGTCTTGTCTAGGGCTGCTTTCCCCTCCCCCGATAGTGGCACAGCTGGGTCACTGCCAAAGAGACCCTGTGGGCTGCAAAGCCTCGAAATCTCACTACCAGCTTTTGACAGAAAGGCTGGCTGATCACTGCTCTGGAATCCACCATGAGCACAACAGCTGCGTCCAACTGTTTTCCAGAACGCTAAGTCACCAGCTTGCATTCACACTTTTCGGGTGTATACTAACACAGCATAGTACACGTTAAGGTACCAACACAGCATAGTACACATTAAGGTAAATCAGGTTGCCCTGCTTGAATTCACAGGTAACATCTCGGTTTTTGACTTGGAGTTTGCTGTTCCGAAGAGGAAACTGTGAGGCCGCCCCACATCGCTCACCGCGACGGCACGTGCTTTGCCGACAAGGCGGCTGTGTAGGGAAGTGAGATTTAAGACCCTGGGACGAAGCGTCTGACCTGGGTGATGCCGCCTACTTGGTGCATTGCTGAGTAAGAGTTTAAAGACACTCATCATTCAGGCAATGTCCTTGAGGCTGTTTCTGAGATTATGAGGAGAGTGGAACTGTTTGCCAAAAGCTGAAACTCCCTCAGTCACTCCTTCAGGCTATCAGGCTAGGAGGAGGGGGAGGGAGGACTCCGAGGGTAGGAAAGCACCGGGGTGTTTCCAGTCGATACTTCAGGTGTCCAGGGAAGGCTGCATTGATAAGGTAACGTCAGAGTAGAAACCAGAGGAAACTAAGGGAGCAAACCACATGCTCATCTGGGGAAGAGTTCCACAGAGAGGGAACAGTGAGTGCAAAGGTCCCGAGGCAGACCTGGGCCTGGCCCGGCTCAGGAACAAGGAGGCGTGCGCTGCTCAGTGGCTGAGCACAGGGGAGGACAAAAGATGAGGTGAGATACAGACAAGCAACCTGAAGCTACGGCAGCTACTACACAATTGCTGCTTCTCCCCCAAGTGAGGAGGGCATGACTGGAGAGTTCTGAGCAGAGAAATAAATAAATATGGCTCATAGTCTGAAAGAATCCATCTGACTGCTGTGCCGAAAATACGTCTGTCAGAGGGCAAAGGTGGACACTGGAGTGACCCAGGCAGAGACGCTGAAGGACAGAGCAGGGAGGACATGGGACGCTGGGAAGTGGTCAGATGGGTTTTGAAAGTAAGGCCAAGGCTGAGGGATTCTGAGTGAGAAACTGCAAAGGGTGAAGTTGCCTTCAGCCGACATGGGGAGAAACCATGGAAGGAAGGTCCGGAGAGAGGAATGGGGGGTTGTACTTGCGCTTTGAACACGTGCCTCTACCACGATTTGTTACGGAATAACACCTCAAACGGATGATTATCAAATCTAAGAATAGACGTTATTCTGAAACTCATGTATTTCCAGGCTGCTCTCTAGAAGACAGGAACTATTTACAACGAGAACAGCAAAAACGTACATGTGTTACCTTCGCCACATACCCCACCGATTGTACCTAAGTCACTACTCAAATGGGCTACCTCATTAGGACCTGGTGCCTCAGATCCACGGTGCTCATTACACAGCTAGGTCAACTGGGGCCTTTTGCCTGGAATGATTTAAAACCATCTCGCCGGCTGGCAGCCTGATGCAACAGGAGCAGCATGAAGTTCACCCTGGGCAGACCTGGGCTTTCCGTACCACCTGCGTGGCCTTCGTGTCTCTGCTGGGTCTTCTAAGCCATCGTCTGCACACTGGCCAGTACACGCATTTCTCGGGGTCCATCTACTCGTCCAACCGGAGACCCCGATTCTAATGAGGAAGACGGATCCGACTGGAACAGGCGAGGGGCGAGTGAATGAGTGAAAGCGACTGCAGTATTTCAGATGAGATCTGATGAGGGCTAGACTAAGGCGGTGTCAGCAGGAAATATTTAAGGGATTTCAGGAGGATGGACAGGACTTTGCAGCCCACTGGGCAGAGAGAGTGAGAGGGTTGGGAGGAACACCCGGGTTTTCAGCTGATGGTGCCCTTTAGGGAACTGAGGTGCAGAGAAAAGAGGACAAGATTCACGAAAAAGGTGTTTGGCCTGTTTATCCCAAGCAAACTTCTCGCTGGTTTGTTTGTTGGAGGATTTTAAAGCCCCACATTAATCTCTTTCATCCACACAACATTCACTGGATGCAGATAAAGACCTTTCTCTTTAACATAACTACAATCGCATTACACAGCCAACAAAATGAACAATAATATCCCTTGGATATTTTCATAGGGAGTATCCTACTGCCTCTCGTTCAGTTTATGATTTTCCTCCTCCAAACCAGGGACCAATTTCTGTCAATAATTCTCCTGGGAGCTCATCTTTCTAAACTTTCAAGTGGTCATTGATTCATTCTTCTCCCCTCTCCTTCACACTTGCGCGTACAGTTCTCCTAGTGACACACGTATGACCGTTACATACGTGTGGTTACGTGGGAGCCGCATGTATCAGGTGGAGCTGCACCATGGTGATGACACAGAAAGTGCACCTCTGCCCTCTGCATCCTCAGGCTGCTCTCCCAGACTCAGCCTTCTCCCAACCTCAGCAAAGAAGGACCCCCTCAAAATCACCTCTCGTATTGTTTTCTTTCTGTCCTGTTCCTTCCCACTCAATCCAGACCACGTACCATTGCTCCGCTAGATGAATCCCGTCATATCTGAAATGCCCCACCAGGTTTCCTGGACGACCCCTCTAGCTGTGATGGCCTCAGAATGCACCAAACCCTCCCCTGTCTCTCTCCGCTCTTCATTCCCTTTAGATCATCTAAAATAGTCAAAAGAATTTTTAAAAAGCAAAACATAAAAATATAACAATGGGTGAACCCAGCAAAGTAGACATATGACTTCTCGCCATCCAGCTGCATCCAGGTTCTTGGCCGAGTGTTTTCTCTTCTGTCCCTTTGGTTTCTGGCTGGCCTGGCATTCTTTCTCCGTCTTCTTCCAAATCTGAATTTGGTCTCAAACTCTTCCCCAAATGAGAGGGGTGTCTCTAGAGCCTCTCCTGCAGCCTCACCAGCTCTGGTGCCGTCCTGCCCTCACACCACACTGCTAATGGAGATCATGGGCGCCACTCCAACACTTAGGGCTCGGGGAAGCCCCTGGAGGTCCAGTGGTTAGGATTCCACGCTTTCACTGCAGGGGAAAGCAGGTTTGGTCCCTGGTCAGGGAATTGAGATCCCACAAGCCGTGACGCGGGGGAAAAAGAAAAAAAAAAAAAACCCACTTAGGGTCCTCTGGTGGCAACAGATATCCATTCCAGCTAACTCAGCGAAAGGGCCTTCACTGAAGAGCCACTGGGAACTCATGGAACTGACTGCAGGCCAGAGAAAGGGACTTAGGAAACTGTCAGAAACCAAGGCAGCTTGAGAGACCAGCAAAGAGGAGCCACAACAGTCCCAGAGCAAAATGGTCTGGACAGGAATGAACGTGACCACACCTGGTATCAGCGCCTT